ACCAAATCCTGAAATATAAATAACAGCTCTCTCATTTTTTATGCCCAGAAGTGAAACACGCCATAGTATGGAAAGAACTCAAATATGAAAGTAAAAAATCATTCACAAAATTTCGGTTGTTACTGAAAAAAGTGTTTTTTCTTGCAAGTTGACACTTTCCAGATTAAAAAGAATAATAACGTGGAAGATATGAACATTTTTGCAAATGAGAGAGTTTATATTCAGGGCTTTGAATAGGAACTACTTGTCGAAGAATTTTTTTTTATGGAAGACAGAATGATTAAGATAATTATGCACCAGGAATCACTCACATCCATAAGTTTTTTTAAAGCAAGAAGTCTTTCATGCATATGACAGTGTCACAAGCCATAATTGGTTACAGAATTAAGGACTGAAAAACGTTTTTAGAGACCTTCTAAATGGCTTAAAGATAAAACAGACAACTTTTAAAAGCACAAAATTTGTCCATATGTACTGAACCATAGGAAACCAGTGCAATGAGTTACAGAGAAAAAAGTTAGAAAAATGTGTCTGATACGCTCTAGACGACATTATTTGTATTTAAATAAAAATGAATATTAAACAAATAATAATAATAATTTACTAAAAAAATAGTTTACATACATATTTAACTTATCAAATATTTTTAACACTAAAATTTAAATGTCTTCTTTTAATATTTTCATTTTAAACAACTTTTTTTTTATTAAAATTAAAGAAAAAAATTTCAACACTCTTTTCGAGCTAAAAAAAGTCAGTGTTTTTTATTGTTAATATAGAAATAAAAATTATTAGTTTAGTAAATTTTTAATTTTGTAAAACTTAAATTCGACAATATTTTTAAATCTCATAGATATGCTAGGAATATGAAAGGGAATATGGAGTACTTTAGGGTGGTAAATAAAAATTAAGCTCAAGTTAATCAAAACTCATTTGAGAATCTATACAAAAAATTGTTTCAGCGGTTACATGTGCTACATATTTTATTATATAATAACATTGTCAAAATTTTCTAATAAAAAATTTAATAATTCTAAATAAAAATAAAAATAATTGAAAGTTGGAATAAAAAGATTGAAAATTATATAAGTGGATAGAGGAATACCGATTAGGGTGGTCTATTAAACCTAAATATTATATTTCATATTAAGAAAAATTCCATTGAAGAAACTATATTTAAAAAAATCATTTCAGCGGTTACGTATGTTATATAATTATATTATCAAAATTTTAAGATAAAAAACCTTCTTTAAATAATGCTGTATAAACATTTACTATTTCAACATTGTTCATTTAGTAATAAATAATAATGAAAATAATTGAAAAAAAGCTTAAGAATTTAAAATGAATTTCATAAATATGTCATGGTTAGAGAAATGCAGATTAGGGTGGTCCATAAAAAATAGATATTATATTTAATAATACAAAAAAATTCAATTTAAGAAATTTTATTAAAAAAAAATCATTTCAGCGGTTGTATAATTATTTTATCAAAAAATTAAAAAATTTTTTATTTATTTAACAATGCTTTTATGTGTCAAAACTTTCACTATTTCAACGTACAATAGTTTATTTAGTAGCAAACAATAGCGATAATAACGGATAACTAAACTTAATAATTTAATTTGAATTTCATAGATATGTTAGAGATATGAAAGGGAATATGCATGAGGGTGTACGATAACGAAAAAATTTATCTAAGAGTTTATATTTAAAAATCGCTTAACCGATTACATAATTATATTGTCTAAAAAAAATAAATATATATTCTTTTAGTAATGCTGTCTAAAGTCATTACTATTTTAAAATGTTTTTTTTCTTTGTTTGGAGATAAACAACTAACATTTAGCAATAAATACTAATAAATAACAATAAAAATAATTAACTTAATAACTAAACTTAACCATTTAATTTTAATTTCGTAGATATGTTAGGGATATGCATTAGGGTGGTCCTTAAGAATTTGCTTATTACCGATACACCAAAAAAGATTTTTTTAAGAAAAATATAGTTTTATTTATTAAAAATAAATTGCCAGTTTTGAAAAAATTAACGTTTTTTACCTTTCATATATGAGAAAAAGGCATGTGGATATTTACTCAAGTATGTTGCCAACATAGTTTCTCGAGAAAAATAATTCCATCTAAAAGATCTATATAATGAGTGCTTTAAGTGCTAGTTGCAGACTTTTTTTTTTTTGAAAAAAATATTATTTGGAGCGCATAAAAAATGATTTTTATGAACCACCCTAATGCTAAGAGAATTACAACAACTTCCTGATTACATTTCATATTAACAATATATATATTTAATTTCTGTAAAAAGTTGACTTTGCAAGTCCAAGGATATTTGTTTACTAAATATTTCTCATAGATATGTATTAGTTAAAAAGAAAAGGTTTTTTTTTTTGTTCTTTTTATGTTTCTAAAATTTCCAACGGGATATGTTTTTAATATCAGCTTGCCATTCAAATAAAGTTATATTAAATTAAATTGAATTAAAAAGTTATATATATATATTTTTTTTTTACTAATATTATCTACTTAAGTATATATGTACATGTGGCACAGTTTTACTATTAATTTAGTTAACCAAACCTAATACATTGTTCCAACACTTTTTTACAATTTTCCTATTTTTATTTTTATTGAAATAAATTCCAATTCTTAATTATTTTACTTTTTCATAATTTTCGTTTTTTAAACACTCACATCACACTGCACACTTTTCAACGATTTACTATTATTAAAAAAGTTCAAATTTATGCTTTGCAGCTGAAGTATATACCCGTAGTTTGCATTCAGTACACTCTGCCATGTGCAGAGTAATGCAGGATGGGAGACGTATTGGGCTCATACATATGTCGATATGTATAAATATTACAAAAAATCGACGTTTTTTTTCTATGAATCAGCAAACCAGCAAGAAATCGCCTACAAACTAATGAGCAGAATAATAAAGGTTAGTCTTTATCATAGACCTCATATGGACACTGACATTAGATGTTAGACTACGGCCACCACTGTAGGGTGGCAAAACCGCTTTAAAGTTCCACTCAGATATCAAAACAGTGAAACGTCAATTTAGCTGGCGATACAAGGAAGCATTTTGAACTTTTGAAGGCATCAAAATTTAATATAGAAATTTTTAGGCAATTTAATACAGCCTTTGGAGTGCCAGTTATCGATTTTTTCGAGACCTCCTATTAGTTAGATTCACCAGGCCGCTTTAAATCAAATATTGTCACGCTACATGATCCACTATCCACTAACTCAATGCGTGATTATCGAGCGTGAATGGTCAGCAAAGATCCTAATCCCTGGAAATTTATGTTCTCAAACCTTAATTTTGTTCCATCAACTGACATTGTGAGAAAACAAGCTAATCAACCATTTCCTAACTGACTGCATATACATATTGTATTTGGCGCTTTGTAACCGCTGAAACGCTATTCGGCCAAACTCCTCATCAATTCTGTGAATTTGCGTCTTAATGCTTTTCCAAAAAATTGAGAGAGCCATAGTTCAATCTTAGCCGCCCCCGAAAGGCTGAAGGATTTTTATAAGAATTGTGGACATTTTTGGAAACTAGACTCGAACTCTGGCCTTTCCAAAAGGCAAGTAGCAACTGCGACCGAACGGGATTCCGCGCCAAAATATGTATGCTTGACCACGTCATTTATATACTCTCGGTTGAAAAGGAATCAGACAATTGAGAGAGTGCTCTTATTAAGCGGTAGTTACAAGCCTATCGGATGGTGGATTACCTAGGGATTTAAGTTACATCGCATACAGTAAGTAATTTTAAAGTCCGGGCAGGTAGGCTCTGTACTCTGGACCAATATGAACTCAAATTCCCACCTCCTTACTATCCGACAAAAATAAACAAAAGGCCGAAGACGAATATCACAGACCATTGTATTAAGGACTTATACTCCTTGAAACTGACAGTGAATTCTCCCGAACAAAACGAAGCGGTATGTTGTCCACATAGAGTGAGATGATAACATTGATCTCTACAAACACATCGTCCGCTCTGTTTTTGCCAGACTGTACAAGGAAACGAGACAAACTAACGCCTGTAATCAGAAAATCAGTCTGCACCGAACCGCTTGAATTCTCTTCTCAATTCTGAAAGTCATAATTTTGAACACTCTCAGCCGAGTACTACAATTGCCCGAACAATGAGCTGTTCGAGATGTAGGAAAACTTTGACAAAACTTATGCAGAGTCAGCGTCTACCTTCACTGGATTATATCAGATCGGATTGATGACAGTTCTGAATGAAAAATAATTAAAATAAAATAAAATAAGAAAAAAAATAAAATAAAATAAAATAAAAAAAAAAAATAAAATAAAATAAAATAATATAAAATAAAATAAAATAAAATAAAATAAAATAAAATAAAATAAAATAAAATAAAATAAAATAAAATAAAATAANGCTCTCTCTTTCATATTTATGAAGCGAAAGGTAAGTTTTCTATTGAAACTACGTTTCGGATAAAATTTTAAGTAAACATAAAATTAAATAAAATAAAATTAAAATAATAAAATAAAATCTAACTAAATAAAATAAAATAAAATAAAATTAAAATAATAAAATAAAATCTAACTAAATAAAATAAAATAAAATAAAATAAAATAAATAAAATAAAATAAAATAAAATAAAATAAAATAAAATAAAATAAAATAAAATAAAATAAAATAAAATTAGACTAAATTAAATAAAGTAAATAATTTACTAAAATAAATGAATAAAAAAAGGCCTCAAACAACAAAAAAAAAATATTAAAAAATTATTTTCGTTCATTTAAAATTGTAAAAAAATGAGTACAATAAAGTAGGAATAAAGAAAATAGCATAAAATGAAATAAAAGTAAAGTGAAGTTGAATTAAATTCAATTTAATTTATATTTAAATTTAACAATAAATTTATATAAGTAAAATAAAACCAAAAAAAAAATAAAAAAAATATATAAAGTCAAAGCTGAGTTGGGTTAGATCATGGGTTCAACTGGTGTACTAGTCTTTCTGCCAAGAGGAAACGGCTTTTGATGATGCGAGTGTAAGTAACGCGTGCATTAGTGTAGAAGAAAAAGGCGGCGTGGACTCCTATGAGATAAGTAGCAATCATTCCAGCCCAACATCCATATGTTGAACATAAGTTCAGTCTTAATTAATTTTAGTCGATTCGAGTGGCTATTTAAACTAACTTAACGGCTCCAACCATATTCATACCTACTCTTTGTTGTCTTATTTGTTTAGCCGATTCGTGACTTGGGAAAATATGAGTTGGCATCGTTTGGTGTGTGCAATAAGTGGCGATACACAAAAGCAGGACATGACTGTTGTGTTGTTGTGAACTCGACTCGCATCGATTGAGTAGCCTGAATGGGCTTAGTCGTAAGACTTAGTGCAGTCATATTTGCGTTCACTGGCGTTCATTTATCAGCGTCTTACTCAGAGAGAGAGACATCGAAAAAGACAATAGGCAGAAGAAATTTTGGTCGCACACAAGCACTATATGTGTCAGTGTAATCGAATGATCATAGTAATTAGTTACGCGAAAACTTTTTGCACAATCATCAATCTAACTGTACTTAATGCCTAACTAAATTTGTCAAGGACGTACTCCATGGAGTTAGCAGCAATGAGACACTCAACACTCAACCAATAGAACTCTATGCTTCAACTCATTCTTTTACAACTATACTTAATTATATATTGTATATTTACATACATATGCACTTACACATACTCTTGTATGGACTTTTGAGAGTAGAGGTATCTTACTTATTTTATTAAAAAGAATTTCCATTACCAATGCCTTTTGTAAGCTACTTACTTTACATGCCGCTCTTCCAACTGTTCCCCTTTCAGGCTGCCAGCACACATTTCGCTCTTAACGCGCTACTTACTTTTATACACACCCCACTGCTTCTTTTACTACAATCCACTTCACTCGAAGCACTATGGTATATCCTTACTTCATACTCATGTACTCGTCGCGCTTGCTGTGGTGCGCCTTTGTTCGGGCACTGCATAAATTGCCAGCTCAGACGCAGCTTTCGGGCACACGCTGTGTCATTAAGCAATCCTTGATGGCATTGATATTTATGTTGTCATCCAAGTCTGTGGACGAATTGCAGGACGTCGTTGCTGTAGAGGCGGCCGATGCCGATGTCGCACCACCAGTCGTCATACTGAGACCCAAGCCGCTGGCACCGCCACTACTGCTACTATTATTATTGCTGGCATTCAGTAGCAGTCCAATGCCACTCAACGAGGCCGAAGTCTGTGAGGTGAGCAACATTGATGGCAATGCATTGTGATGATGGCGTCCACCAGCACCACTCCCGCCGCCAGTGCTCATGCTCGTTGTACCCGCCAGTGTATTATACGCCAGTGGATGCGGTAGTGCCGGCGCATGATGTTGTAGTTGTTGCATGTTTTGTTGTTGTTGCTGCTGCTGATGGTGGTGCTGCTGCAGCATTGCTGTACGTCCTATGGTGCCGCCAACTAAATTATGATGCAGTCCAGCACTGCCGCTGTTGCTGTTGACGCTGCCATTGCTATTGCAACTTTCATTGCTATTGAGCAGACTGTTGAGTATGTAGCCACTGCCACACCCCAGCCCAGGTGGTAATGTGCTGCCACCGCCACCGGTGCCAAGGGGGCCAATATGCAGTTGCTGTTGCAGATGCATGGCATTGTAGGAGGCGGTGGGCGAGCTGATTAGTGCCTCGTTTAGGCCATGTGCTGAAGTCGTCGCTGTGACAACAGTTGAAGCACCAACTACTGGCGCCTTTGAGCTGCCAGCGCTGGTATGCTGCTGGTGATGGTGATGCAATAAGCCAGTATCCAGCGCATTGACAATGGCACTACTGTCACTGCCGCTGCCGCAGCCGTTGGGGTCTGTTGTCGTGCCCGATAGTAGATGAGTTGTACGTGCAGTGATTTGATTAGCAGCAACAAGCTGCGTTATGTTGTCATATGCGGTTGTAGGAAGATGCTGCTGACGACAATCAAGGCATGCATGCCCAGTGTAGATGATGAAATTCCAGCAACAACACAACAGCAAGATAGATATCATACCGAGCGTACAAGGTGGAGTAGTTGCCGTCAAAGGATGGTGACGCACGGTTATTTGCAAAGAGGAAATTGTTAATCGCCAATGTGTCGGTATGTCAAATGGGCAAATAAGTCCGCGCGAGTGTACGTGTACGTGTATGTGTAAGTTGGTGGCGTTGTACAGGAAATTGTGTCAGCATACACATTCCAAATGTGTGTAGGTGTTGTTGATGCGATAGCGGAAATGGACGTCCATCCATTGTTGTAGTGATGTAAATGCGTTGCACAACAAAGCAATTCGTAACGTAACGGTACATAAGATAGATTTGCAATGGCAGCAGCATCAAGTAGTTAGTCATTTCGTCATCCAGGCAGCAGGCAGCGGCGCAGAAAGGAAATGAGTACATAAAAATTTGGAAGAGAGAGAGAGAGAGAGAAAAAATGTATTTAGTAAGCTAAATGGGAGCAAGAGCCACTTAAATTAAATCAAATGAAGAGTAGTGAGTTAGAGAGTGAGTGAGTAAGTGAGTGAGCGCAGTTAATTGTTTGCCTCTAATGTAACAAATGGGCGACAATCAACCTCCAAAATGAAAAATGCCTGCAGAAAATAAATGAAATTATCGCTCTCAAGTGCATGAACTGACTCACATACACTTGTATGTATGTTATAGAGATTTCAATTTACATTCTAACTTATGCTCTTTGCTGTATTATGACTTGGTATTCAGCGAATGGCTGATTAAGGCTGCAACTACCCATTTTACTTACCAGCCGTCCATAGCTGGCGACGTCGAAGCGAGATACATACATACACGAGTTATCGACACTGCTGAGAGCGGCAAAATGTTGCCAATTGCCTGTGTGTTTGCACACTTTTGAGCAAATTCATAATTTTCATTTCTTTTGAAAAAAAATTACGCATTATCTTCGATTATTTAATATTACTTTAAGAAAGACTATACTGGCAACATTGTATAGCAACGAGAAATGAGACTAGCCAGTTTTACGGAAAAAATCAAATCGCCGTTGGTTTCAGCGGGAGAACCGTCACTAACGGCATGGGACGGCTGGTACGTACGTTGGGTAGTTGCAGCATAAGGGCTAAGTCCACTCGGGAGATTCAAAAATATACTAATTTTAACAATTTATTATAGGAATATGGGAAAAGGAGTAGAGTTTCTATTCAATCATTTCATGGAACATAAAAAAATATTCTTTTATTTTAATTTTGTGACTAAATCCCCTGCTTTTCGATCAAAGAATCGTGTTTTTTTGTTACGCAAAAAATAAAATCCATGTATTTGTAGAGTATGGGGGATTTTGCAATACGATGAATATTTTTCAAATGGAACGCTGCGAACTTTCGAAATATCTTGAGCCCGTTTTTCTCGAAACCATATTTTCCGATCTACCTTCAAGCCCCGCGCAGAGGCCGATGGAAAGTGCCATTTTGTAGTCGCCATTTTGAACTACGACTATTTCTTTGCCATTTTCAAATCTCAAATAATAAGCAAGTGAAAACCAGAAGTCGTAAGTCTTTTCATTCCCCCAAAAAAAATACAAACTTGGCCTGATTTTCGCCCAATAAGAGGGGAGGGTTCCATTAATTCATGGATTGTAATATTGATAAATTTCAAAGTTATTTTTTATGCGAAATAAAACCAGAATTCACAATTCGTTTATTAATTTTCAAAGTAAAATACGTTTTGTGATATTTATTAAAAATCTCCAGGACGTGTTTAATAAAAATTGTCTTTTTTTTTGCTTGATTTTAAGGTGTATAAAGAGCTCTTAGAAGCAAATGAAATAAACACCGACTTTTGAGAAGTTTAGGAAACAAACTGATACAAACAAATACTCATTACAATTTCTATTTAAACTTTTGAGTTCTGAAGCAATGAAGAAAGCCAAAAAAAAAATATTCGGACACTAACCGCAACGCATTCTAGATTCCAATTTTCATACCTGCATTCACTGTTTTATTTTACACAAATTTGTATTTCTTGATCAAAGGATTTTATTTTCTGTAACACTTCTCATTTTAATTTACTTTATTTTTTGTTTGAACGCCTCTACTCCAGCTTTGTGGAGTTTTCTTGTCAATCCATTGGATTTCATCTGTTTTTCCGCAAATAAAAAAGCTAAGTTATGCGCATAGACAGAGACTGTACCCTGTAGGAAAATGCAGTTTCTGATGGTCAAATAATGTTTTTATATTTAAGTAGAATATAATAAAATAAAAAATTCAATAAAAATAGGTAATATTAAAATAAAATAAAATGAAAGCAAAAATAAAATAATAAGTTAAATAAAAAAAAAATTAAAAAATGACATTTAATAAAAATAAAATGTATATTAAAATATAATAAAAGTAAGAAATAAAATAAAATTGAAGAAATTAAATAAAATGAAACCAAAAAAAAATTTTAATTTTTATTAATATAAATCAATAGAAACTATATTCAGCTAAATTAAAATGATCTAAAAAATAAAATTAAACAGAAAAAGCATAAAATATGAAATAAATTAATGCAAAATGCAAAAATTTAGCAAAATCAAGTGAAATTAAATAATAAAAAAATTACGAAAATAAATCATTAAATTGATTTTTTTATAATTTTAATTAAACTGACAGTTAAATAATTTCAAATCAATACAATAGTGAAATTCAAATGAAATGTAATAATAATAATGAATATAAATATAGTAAAAAAAGTAAAACAAAATAAATAAAGACCAATAAAATAAAATAAATTAAAGTAAAATGAATTCAACTCCATGAATTATTCAATCAATTTTTTTCAAAATTCGCATTTACATCAAAAACTCAGCAGCAATCTTGAGCAAGAGTTACAGTTTTTCGCTGCAGGGACTTTTTATATAACCAACTGACTTTTTTATATATCTATATCTATATATATATATATATATATGTGTGAGTATGTGTATAAATAAATAACCACAGAAATAAAGTTTTCTATATAGAAGAAAAAGAAACAAAAAATAATATCCACTTTTTAATTTCTTACTCACTTTGGAATTTGGTGACCACTTTGTGGCAGCTATTGGTGTGAAGTGAAGCTCAGAACCGCCAGCGTTGCCACTTCCGACGCCGCCACTACCGCCACCATTGCTGCTGTTGCTACTACTACCGTTGCCACTTCCTCCACTGCTGCCACCACCGCCACCACCACTGCCGCCGACACTATTACCAGCCGTAACTATTTGATGGCAATTTATTGACATTTGTTCATTTATTTGTTGGTTGTTATTCGAACGATGGTCAGTTGGTCAGTTGGATGGGTGGTTCGTCGGTTGGTCGATATGGTCGGTCAATTGACGTTGTTGATGGCGACCAGTTGGTGGTAGTTAGTTTGAAGTGTTCACCAGTTGGTTTGCGGGTTGTTTGTCATGCCGAGCATGTTTCGTTGAATATTAGATATTTTGCAATTTGTTTGTCATTGCAATTTATTAAGCGTTGATGAAATGTGAAGAGAAGAAAAAAAAATATTGAAAGAGAAATTAAATGATTTGATTAATAATCGAATTGTGCAAAAATATGCGAGGGAGACGTGTTGTATAAAATTTAGCTATTTCTTCTATTGGTAATGGTCTAGATTAAATTCTGCTGTCGTTTAGAGTAGGGAAACGAATAAAATTTAAGACAAGAGACCAATGTAACCAAAAGATAATTAATTTCAAATTTACTCCTCTTACTCGCACTTTAAAATAAAATAAAATAAAATAAAATAAAATAAAATAAAATAAAATAAAATAAAATAAAATAAAATAAAATAAAATAAAATAAAATAAAATAAAATATAAAATAATCCGAAAATACTAAATACAATAAAACAAAAAAAAATCAAATCAAATTAAATAAAGCAATATAAAAATAATTAATTTGAATTAAATTAAATTAATTTAAATAAAATAAAATAAAATAAAGTGAGTAAAATACTAGAAAATTAAATAACATAACATAAGAATATAAATTTTATTCAAATAAAACAAGCTAAAATAACGCCAAAAAAAAAAATAAAAGTAAAGAAAATGATATAAATTAAAAAAAAAACTTAATGTTAAAAATAGTTTAAAAGTAAATAAACAAGACGAAGCAAACCAAAATAAAATAAAATAATACAAAACAAAATAAAAATAAATCTCATTAAACTAAACGAAATGATGTTAAAAAATATAAAATTAAAATGAATTAAATTAAATATAGTGAAATAAAATAAAATGACACAAAATAAAATAAAACCAAATAAAACATAATTAAAAAATAAAATAAAACCAAATAAAACATTAAATTCCATACACTTAATTAATATAAGTTAAAATTATACAAAAATAAGAAGAATACAAAATAAATAACCTAAAATAAAACAAAGTAAATTAAAATAAAATAAAAAAACAATTAAAATTTCATAAATCAAAATAAAATAAACAAAAGAACAACATAAAATAAAATAAACCAAATTAAAATAAAACAAAAATATAAAACATAATAAAGTAAAACAATTAAAAAAAATAAATAAATAAAGGAAATAAAATAAAAACAAACAAAACATTAATTTCCATAAATTAAATTGAAATGAAAAAATAAAATAAATTAAACCAAAATAAAATACACTAAATTAATAATAATAATAAAATAATATTATACAAAAAATTAAACTAACCTAAAAACAACATATTACAACATTCAAATCGATATCTTAAATGGTTTTTGAGTTATAGCAATTTAAAGAGCAGCCGCTCGGCAGCTAGAGAGTCTTATTAGCTACGAGTGAAAACGATCATTTTGTCTTTAAACGCGTTTTTCCCGAAACAGCATTTTCCGAATTCGAAGAAAATATCCGATAACTATCGAAGTATTTTTACATATTCTATATAAAGTTCTCCGTATCGAGTTTTAGCAGGCTAAAAACGACCAAAATTTTGGGTAAAATTCGATTTTTTTTTTAAACGCCACCATATTGTCGATTTTTGATTTTTCGTTAGCATATGTCGTTGTACAGACAATATTATCTGGTAGAGAATTTTTTTTTTTAAATGTCATCCACAGAGAAGGCCCTAATCACTGCAGCAGTGAAGGACTTTTGTTTTTTTTCGCGCCGTTGGAGATCGACTATAACTTAAAAAATATTTAATTTTTTTTTTCTTCAAAAATTTCACTGTTTATTCTTGAAACATGTATAACTATTTTCTTAAAATTTTGAAATAATTGATAAGGTATTTTTTTTAAAAATAATTCCGAAAAAATCACCTTTCTTTTAGGCCATCACACAAGGGGTGCCTCTTGAATTAAATAAAGAAATAAAATAAATAAAATAAAATAAAACAAAATAACATAAAATAAATTAATACATATTAAAATTAAAAATGTATTAATAAAATTAAATTAATTGAAACGTTGTAAAATTAAATAAAATTTGGTATTATTAAAACAAAATAAAATAAAAAAAATGAATCTAAAAAATTTAAGTAAAATAAAATGGGACAAAATTCAGTAAAATAAATAAAAAAATAATATTTGAATTCTTTTTTTATTAAATTAAAATAAATTAAATCTAATTAAATTGATTAAATTAAAATAATAATTATAATTAAATAAAAAAATACTGAATAAAATGTAATAAAATAAATTTTACTAAGGTAAAAGCAGAAATATTAAGAAGGAAAGTAAAAGTAAATATTTAATTTCATCAATTTCCTAAGAATGGTTTTTTTAACCACAACAATATCATTGTAATTACGTTTAAATCTATTTTATGTGTAAATGCCTGAATATCCCGTGGCATACAAATAAACCTACATACAAATTATCTGGCTCCGATATATTATTTTGCTAAAGGAAATGGAAAAAAATTATTACTTGCGCATTAATTTTCACTCACCATATTGGGATGGTATGACATCCGGATCTCGTTCGTCTTCCACCAGATCTTCAGATGATTTAGTTTTAATGTCCGTATGCTGCCAACGTGGTTTTTCCATGCCACCGCACTTCTAGTGGGAAATTTGCGTTTTATTTTACATTTCATTTTTTATTATTATCATTATTGATTTTTTTTTTTTTTTGTGAACAGATATAAAAAAAATGGAGAATAATGAAAGTGAATTGAATATTATTATCGGAATATCTATGTTACTAAAGCGACTTTCGCAATAAAGAAAAATAGCGAAGGAGAGAGAGAGCGAGTTGTGATGAAAAACGTGTACACGCCAGCTTACCTTCAGCACGTCGCCAGCTTGTGCTGCCACACCGGTCGCTATAGGTTTGTTACCATGCTGCTGATTGCGCTGCAAATTCTGCATGAATGAAAGTATGAATATGCGCACGATGATGGCCAAACTAATGATGACAACGGTGAGCCCACTGCCAACCAAAACCGGTGAAAGCGAAAAGGATACTTCATCTTCTGTTTTGCAGCAGGCGATGAGACGCGGACAATGCGTTGACAGTTGTATTGGTGCGCGTATATTTTTTTTATTTGACCGATTTTTTTTTTTTTTTTTTTTTTTTTTTTTTTTTTTGAATTCAAATTTATTTATTTGCATTGTGCACAGTTATGGACATTAAATTGCATGCAGACGTTTGTTGTTCAATCGTCAATTTTTTCCATTATTATTATACCCATTTGCGGGATTATGATTTCATTTTTTATTTGTTTTAAATGTGAAAAACATTGTCTCATTGTTTTGTTTAATATTTTTCGACGTATTTATATTTCATATTTGACGATGTTTTTTTTCATTTTCGTAAATGTTGTTTCATTTTCATTTCCGTTTTATGTCAACATATAATAATTCATAAGTGTGTCCGCCGTGTCGTCATTAATGCGCCAAGCACGTACATTTAACAGGAATTGAAACAAATCCAGTTGATATTTTGTATGCATTTATAATGCGTTGTAGATTTCAATAGCAGGTGAAAGTGTGGTGAAAAGTATGTAAGTATGTAAGTAAAAAAGATAAATAAACAGGATCAGCACAATATGAATATTAAAATGTTTTTATTGTTTTAGCTGTTGTATTTGAATGTCTTTATATATTTATTTAAATAATTTATGTTTAGTTAATTCTTAAAAAAAAATTAAGTTCACTTTCACGTGAGAAATGAAAGATTTACTGACTCTAAAAGAGTGTTTTTCAAGCCCGAAGACCCACTTTGAACAACATTAATATCTATGAAATGAGCACAATTTTTTCATCCGAATTCAATTGAAATTTAAACTTCTTAATAACATTTCCCTTTACCGCTGATGAATTTTTTAGATAAAACCCTAAACATAAGATCACTTCTTCTACGAATTACATCCTCGATGTGGGAGTAACCTAAAGCAATCAAAGAATCGTCGATTGTTCTGCTTAGCCAACTTTGTTTTCCCAACGGTGTAAGTGCATGCTCTGTGGAGCTTTCTGATAGCCAAAGTACGTAGTTGCACAGCAATTACTTCTAGCTAAACAATTATCTTCATTCTAACTAAAATTCGCAAGCTTTCATTAGTTAGAGAGCAAAATGAAATATAATTTTTACATCTGAGCCAATTTTTGGTCGACCGCCCACTGATTGTGTGGATCTTAAATGTTTTATGAACCAATTCCTGCTAAAAAAAAATCACTGCTCACTGAAGGTCTAGTTTTTTTTCTTAAGCCGCCTCCGAACGATTGATGAGCTCACTTCAATGTAAAAAAATACACTCTTACGGATCGAAGAACGGTCGAGGAGCAAAGCGTATATTAGCTCGGTTAGGATTTATAGCCAGCACGCCCCGCTCTGCAAATTAATCGGGTACAGCAGCCACTAATAGAATAAAATATATTTTTTCAAACCCTTTACTGCAAACAACAGACAGTACGAGCACTGCGTCAAAAATCTTATCTCATACTCGCCTACGGAACCAGAACTCATCTTCCCTATCTATACAGCATTGGCCAAAAGTATTAGGCACCCAACTTAAATACAAGTATTCTCAAATGTGGCTCTCAAAGTTACCACTTCTTTTTGTAAATGTCTTACATGGGTGTTTAACTGCTGATTACACGTTATTAAAAGGCATAGCCCTCTGGCAACAATTATAAATCAAAAAGTGGAAGAAAGTGTCGAGCCAGTAAACGCTAAGAGCGAATACTTATACATGAGTCTCTCAGCTGCCCTTTCGGTTGAATTTAGTAAACCAGTTAGTGCTCGAACAGCTAGCAAAAGACTTCTGGAAGTAGGTTTAATAGGACGTAAAGCCCGAAAGAAGCCGTGGCTCTCAGAAAAGAATAGGAAAAATCGTTTGGAATGGGCTCACCGATACCAACATTTCACGGAAGAAGATTGGTCGAATGCTCTGTGGTCTGATGAAACAAACTTCGAGGTAAGCTTAGTTAAAATCGTCTTATAGTATTAACAGCCAAAGCTTCTTACCCCAGAGCAGTTTTGAAGACATAATACAAATCTTATGAAAACATTATTCTTTCTTTCGTTCGTGAGACGACGGGTTGGGGAAGTAAGTAACGTAATGGTCCTACTTTGCAGACACTGCTAGTTGCTGAAAGCAAGTTCGCCATCCAAGCGCATTAGTAAGAAAGTAAAAAACTATATGAACTTGATTCAGCAATATTTGCAACGATGCTTCTGGCATTTTCCTCAACACATTCCTCAACTCTTTTTCTTTTAATGTCATCATTGAAAGTCCTTTTGTAGACGAAAAGCTCAAGCTGTCACTTTGAGCCAAGTAATTTCGCAGCAACTATATATATATATTAGGATCTGACTCTAGGTCCATGCAATCAGTCTGAACGTAGCACTAACCACTACCTGGCCTCATGAAACCCACTTCTCACTCTACTTTGAACCCATCAAAATCACTCGTTTCCTGGAAACTTGCTCTGCCTGCACTCATTCTCATTTCCTTCGAGCTTAAGAAAAAGCTCTACTTCTGCATATTCGATGCAGTGAGAGAAGAGCTGCCTATGTTCAATATATCAAGAAAATTGAACAATGAAAATGATTTTTCCGATAAATCTCTACATATTGACTTGGCAAAGAGCCAATAGCCTGCAAAAGTTCCACAAATTAAGCAAAACCGAACGACGGAATCGATCCCAGGGCCACTTCACGGAAAATAAAACTTTCACCATGTCAGCTTAGGCAAAGAAATATCTGTGTACCGAGTCTCATGTGAATCAAAAGATTTAGAAGTAAATTCGATTTTTCCGAATAGATCGATCTCAGATTCACTTCCCGAAAAGTCCATTCCACTCGGACGTCAGAATCAGAACTCCCTCCAAGTTTGAGGTGTCTTCGTTCAGAGGTTTAGGCTGTTGATTGATACGGCAGTCATTCAGGCAAATACTTGGCATATGATTTTTATACTACTTACTTATATATTGTAGATATGTATGCACAATATGAACCTCACCACCGCTACTTATTTATATTGTAATTTTATACGAATTACTGTTTGCCACTCACCTGCTTTATATGCTGATGAGCCAATGATAAAATCCGACAGCAGATACAAAGGGCTGCGGCCTTTCTGATTGTAAGCATAAATACGTAGTTTCAATGAGTTGTTCTCCTGTGTCATCATTGATGTCAAAGTATCGAGATTTTCCAGGGAGAATTGTGGCTCCTCAACATTAGTCAAATTAAATCTGTGAATGGTAAGAGAAAATATAGAAATTTATAAATAAGTATAGCAAAAGCGTACATCATACTCAGTTCGAGAGGTGAAAGTGATGGGGAAGGAAAAATAGAAATGAGAAAGAAAAGGAAAATTATAAGGCCTGATTGTATTTCGCTTATAGCGAAATAATGTCAACAAAAAAAAAAAAAAAAAAAGAAATAAAAAAAAAATAAATAAAATAAAAATGGAAAACAGCTGCGCAATCGTTTACAGTTGGCTTAAGCTTAAGCTATATTTAAAGCGCGCACATTTGAAAGCTTTGGAAAGCTTACGACGTAAACACCATGTGTGCATAGGGGGTTTTTAATGTATGTACATGTGGTTGGGAGTATTTGTATGTACTATGATTACAGTTACATTTTTTGCGCACATTTCCGCATATACATACATACACATGTACGCATTTAGAAACTTATACATTTATATATTTATTTATTTATTTTTTTTTTTTATTATTCAACCATTCAAGAAGGGGTCATGAGCATTTCGATTATTTTGCACTTTTACGCTGTTATGTTTGCTTATTTGGGGTTTTGGGGGCATATTTATGAAATGTTAGAAAGTCATTCGATTAAATGCCATTTAAATTGCCGAAATGAATGAATAGTGGCGCATGAACACAGTTTCATTCACTCTCTTTTTGGTGTACAAATTTTTAACACACATCAACACATGAGTGTTTGTTTATATACTATATACGTATTTTTACATTTGGCTCTACTTACTATTCATGTGTACAATAAAATTCACTAAAAATTCGTCCCACATATTTGTGCAAAGAAGCTTACACTTTACTCAGGCATAATCCTTTTTTCGTGCCTGTATTTGGGGACCCAACCATTCATGACGCATTATGTGTTTGTTTTCGCAATAATATTCCCGCCACATTTTTTTTTCTTCTCCTTTTTTTGTGAGTTTTATATTCCCGTTTGTTTTACTACCAATTTAATTTTCATACTATTTCCACTTTAGCAGTATTTCTGGCTGTTATTTGGGCGACTGCTACAATTTGATTACTTTCTTACATAGCTACACAAATACATGTACATATTTACTTGACCTTATTTTAATGGCAGTTGATATGCGTACATATGTATACGTGTATATATTTATATATCTATTTGCAAACGCACAAGGCGCTATACGCCGCTATAAATAGAACATAAAATGATTGCAATAACAAGTTGAGTAACCGTTTTTTGAAAAGCGTACAAATAAAACAATTCGTTTGTATAGCGCGTACAGTGTGCACATATACATGACCCAGCGGTTACTAGGTAAAATGTATGTATGGAGAAAATAAAATTGGAAAAATAACACACATTCGCAGCCACGAGCAGAAATTTAATAAAAAAAAGTGCAAATAGAAAAATATAATAAAAGTATTCGAAAATGATTAAAAATAATCAAAAAAATATTTTACAAAAAAAAAAAAAAAAAAAAAAAAAAAAAAAAAATAAATACCAATGAAAAAATGTTGCGTATACGCCGTGGTTAATAGCGCTGATGCCGTTGAATCCTTTAAAGATATTGAGATTGGTTTTTCCGCTCTTATTTCCAGGAACAATTTCAGTTATTTTTCGTTCGTGTAAAATACAATAGCACAAATTTTTTAATATTTGATATTCAATGGAAAAATATGACACCAACATAGAATATTTGCTTAAAAATAAATATATTTCAATCTAGGCGTTTGAGAAACAACGTAAAAAACTTTCGTATATCACTAGACTGAATATAATGCACATGACGTAAAGTCGTCGTGCGCAATAAGCAAATTCCAGCTAATCATAAATTAAATAAAAGCGGCCTATATTTGCTTATAACTTTTTCTCAGAAATGCTTAGCTATAGTAGAGTGGCTTGCTGCTAAACCTTACATATTGGCTGAAAAGCGCTCGAAATGGAAAAATACAAAATACGGTGTTTGGTGCGAAAAATATTATTTTTTTTTTTCAAAATAATCTCCCTTAACATCAATATACTTATTCCAATGATCTAATAAATTTATGGAACTCCTATATTGACTCGTCAACGGCTAAAATATCTGCTTGTCAACGCATTCGACGAGAAACGCCATACGCGAGGGTACTGTTTCACGTTTCTGAAGAGTTAGTATACGCTGAGAACAAAGTTGCTACTGTTATTTTTATTATTAACATTATTGTTATTATTATTATTATTATTATTATTATTATTATTATTATTATTATTATTATTATTATTATTATTATTATTAGTCGCAGAAATTTGTCATTGTTAAAACAGTTTTGTCAGCAGGTGCATTAAGTTGATAGTAAATGATTCTTTTGTACTGCAAACCAGGTCTTCTCTCACGAATTTTTTCACCCCATTTCTTGTTTTTGTTGAAGAAATTTGGATATCACTATGAATTTTCTCAATGATTTCTGGAGCGGTTGCGGGTTTTGGTCGTCCTCCGCGTGAATCGTCCTCAAGCCAAGTACGATCCTGTTTAAATTCACCCGCCCAAAATTCAACAACTGTTCATAACTTTTCTTTGCTTTAAAACCTTTCAAAACAAATAATTAAATTTTATCCATATAAAAACAAAAGCTCTGAAATGTCAAGTTTAATTGCTCGTAAAGAAAGAACTGACGGAAAAACTTGAGAAAGAAATTTGGAGCTAGTAGTGTTATAACTTTTCATACCTATTGGTTATTTCTGATATCAGATTAAGGTTTAATTTAATCCAAGGTTAAGCAGATATCATGTAGGTGGTTTTCTGTAAAGCAAAGGTCCTAATAAATTCTCTGGGTATGGACTAAAAATTGATTCGTTTTCACCTCTACCTGCCTTCATACTTTCCTCACGTGTACCGCCAAAAACTTTTTTGCTGTCTTTTCTCATTCCAAACAGCTTCCAGTTCTCTGGGTAGTTTCATTTTTTCTTATTTCTATACTATTTCGATAGGCAGACGGTTAGTAGCTCTATGGACAAGCTTCTCAACTTCATAATAGTTTTTGCGGCCAATGGTCTAACGTTTTCCGAGGTAATACAATGGAAGATTATTACCTCATTTGGTGCTGAGCTTTTAACGTAACATTGCATTTAGTTGATATTTTTAATATAGATTCTTGCTTAATTACCTCAGCGGCTTTTCATAAGGCGAAGGCGTCCCTCGCACTACACTGGTAACTCGAAAGGTTGTCTGAGATCAAGCACAACGTAATAATTTCATGCCGACATTCACGTTTATTTCGCCAGTTAATATTATTATCAATATAAAGGACATTCATCGTTCACTGATTAAGCTGATATGAATATGCGCTGAGGAATCTACTTGTTGGAGTATGTGTGATGTGTTCGTTTACCTATTTTACTGAGACCACAACCATTTTGAAGACACAGTACCTACAACATTGTAGTCTTCAAACACGTTGTAACTGTGTACTCAAGTATAAGGTCTGTGAACACCGTTAACAAATATATCAGTTTGAATGGAATTACCCAAAATAAATATTATTTAAAAATTCTTAGATCAATGAAGAAATTTCTTTGAGTTTACATTCATGTTTTCAGCCTCTATTAATTCACAAATGATATAATCTGGACACCATGTACGTCTGGGTACATACATACATATGTGAAAACTCAACCAGTTGTGAACGTTGTAATCGACTTAAAATTGTGTAGTTAAAGTCTAGTACACGAGTGCTCATAGTATCATGTATCTACATCTGTATGTGGGTCTGCAAAAATGTTAATAATGATATCAGCCCACATACAAATATGAGAAGGGACGCATAATTCCCGAATATATGCATATACACACACAAATATATATTTATTTAAAGCCACTATAGTACTGCATTTGCATTGAAAGGCCATAATCGATAGATCCCACACAATCAACGACCAAGTGAGCAGGCAACCAGCAGCAGAAATGAACAACCAAACGAGCCAACAAATGAAAAACAACAAGCGTAGAATCAGTCAAGCAAACATACGGCAAAGCAACCAAGTCAACCCAGCTTCCCTTAATGTCTTTTCAATCATGACCTCAATTTGAATTTGATTATTGTATTTTGGCGTCATAGACACACGCACACACACACACACATACGCATACTTACATACACGCAAGCACTCAAATAAGCATCAAAGCATTAAAAGAACCAACAGAAGCGTGTTCTAAAACAGAATGAACGGTAACTAAAACGTAACGACTTGACTAGGCTCAAACATGGCATCCCTTTGGTGGATAACATTACATAGTATGCATGTATGTGTGTGAGCGCAACACAAGCAACATCGAAGAGTATACCTTTGACTAAAATTAAAAAATACCTTTTCGTCTAAAAAAGCATTCATGCAAAAGAGAACATCAATTTTTCTCTTTACTATTCGCATAACATGCGAATTTTTCCAAGAGCGTGGGAACAGTTGGGTTTGGTTGCTGTAAGTTTTCAGCAGCAAATTCTTGGATTTTTCCTTCTAGCCCCCTCATTTCTTCAATTTTTCGACTTCACAGTAAAATATTGTGCATTGTACCCAATAACATTGGTACCGGTTACATATGTTGAAAGCCGATACCTGAGCAAGAACGAAAATATATTATAAAAAGTATAAATATTTAAGTGCGCTAGCGTTTAAATTTCAAAGAATTCGAATATATACGGGTATACATTATTATTTTTATGAAGCAATTTAAAAATGTTCTGAGCAAAATATTCAATAACGAGAGCACGTTGAGTTTCGGTTTGAAGACAGACAGACATTGTACGAAAATTTTAAACATAAATCTGCCGACCGCATAAAAGATTCGTTCAAACTAGATAATGAAAAAGCCTGCCTGGAAATTTCGATAGAAAAAAATTCAAACAGATGTCTAACAAAATTTTATTCATTCATTTTGGATAAAAAAAAATTTGAATCGATTTTCTTGAAGATTTTAGTACATTAACTCGAGAAAATAAGTTATCTAAATGAAAGAAACAAAAAAATTAAATAACTCATTATCTGCTGTTTCACCGAAAGAATAAAATATATATTTCCGAACTGTAAAATGAAAAAAGGGAATATTAAATAATTGATCCTGTCCAGCTGTCATCAAATCAACGTGTCTAAATATTTTAGTACTTGGACGAAAAAAAAGTTGGTAGCATAACAAAATTTTGACAGAAGAAGAAGTTCAAATATTCATATTATAAACTGTTTGTACTTCATCTAGAATAAAAAAAAGGTAGTCGAAGCAAAAAATTTGAAAAAGTTCGATTATCCTTGAAAATTTTACTATTTCATCTTGAAAACAAAATAGAATTAAATACTACAATAATTTATTCTTGCCATAAAGCAAAGTTTTAAAATAGTAAATTGTACATTTCGACAGAAAAAAAACTCTAAATATGTTATTGCCTGAACTTGAAAAATTAGAAGAAAAGAAAATTTATCCGAATAATTGGAAATAATTTTTTCCAAATTTTATCAATTTCATCGTCCTCCTTGCACCTCAATTCAAGAGAAAGCATTGAATAAAATTATGAACTGATCCTTTCGTTGGAAAAAAATTCGAAGAGTCTTCAGATATTAGTCATCGCTGATGTGTCCCTGAAACTTTTTTTCCAGCTTCAACTTGGAAAGAAAGATTAAGTATATAATTTTTTAAAGTACCTCCAGCTAATACATTTTAAGCCTTATACAAAAATGCTGCTGACGATCTGCGAATTTGATGGGTAACCATACCGAGTTAATATTCAAAATATGTTTAAGAAAATTTATTAGTTTTTTTTCGTTTCGTTTCCAGGTCAAACATAATTTCTAAAAATAAACAAATTTTAAATGTTTCTACAAAATCCTCAAAATTTGATAAAATAATTTTGTAGCTCACAGACTTAACTCTGCAGTGTTTCCAAAATTATATGATCCATTTTATAGCATCGCCTTCATAAATTTCTCAGTTTTTGCCTATAACTTTTTTCCATTTCCGTCAGTTTTAGCATGAAGCTTGTTTTTATGGAATCGTCATATGAATTTTGTATATAAAGATTATAAATCTGTTGTATTAAGGAGAGCGACTGAAGCGTTTTCAATTCTCTAGAAAGAGTTTTTGTGAACTTTTGATATGAAAGAAACACTTGCTCGCTAGGTGGAGCTGATTCACAGCTTGATCTTCTAATATTCACAAGACCATTCGAAAAGAAAGATTTCCACTGAAAAATTACACTGTTAAATTGTCCTTTCAACTGCAAATACAATGGTTTTATACTCTCGTTTACATATAGAGATATTAGCAACAAGTTTACCTTTTATTTGGAAATAATTATTCTCTTTGGAAGAGCATAAAGCAATTTGCAGTAGGCAGAGCAAAAGCACAATATAAAAGAGTGAGAGAAAAAACGCATATACCTGTGCCTCTTTCATAGTACCGTAAAAAACTAACAAATTCATTTCAAAATTGTACGGGAAACTTCAAAAATTATACATATAAACCTTTCTGCAAAATCAATTTATTTACTTGTGGAAATCGTTTGAAAATCCCTTCAGCAGTTATTAAGTTTGTATCGAACAGACAGACAGAGAGACGCAGAAGAAAACTTTGTTCTAAAATATTTGGAGCAATGTTTTTCTGTTTGCTACTTGTCTGTAGCATGAAAAATAAGAATTGTATCGCTGTAAACTAACAAAAATTGAACCGAACAGACTAAACTTTTATTAAATGAGGTTAAAGAGTTCAATAATCCAACTATACTAGGTCACTATTCCTATCATACGTTTGGATAATTTTTAAATAAAACTTGCTTTTGTTCTCATAAAGCAATACGAACTGGTCTTATTCAGGGCTTATTAATTTAGCTAACATTCTCAGTTATTGATAAATGTTTGAGGTTATAATTTTAAATCAGCTAGACACTCTGAGCTTTTTTCTAATATTTATTTTACTTAATTATTTTCACAAAAAACTGAAGTAATATATTTGTATAAAATATTCCTCGAATTACCACAAGATTCTGATTTCAGTGCTGTTTAAACTCCTTCAATTTTATCTAAGCTATTTGCTTTGCTACTTCATTATAGCTACCGAAAAGTCATAAAAGAATTTAATATATGTCTATATACAAAAATAAATAGCAAACAAATATAAAACAACAGTCCATACATAACTTTCGCCCAACACAATTTTGATTACACTTGCTAAAAACATAAAATGTTCAATATTTAAAAAAAACCACATACACACATATACGAATATATATATGTATATATATTGTATTCCAATCTTTTTCATACATGTAAAACACTCTTTTACCGCAACAAATAATTCGGGCATTGAAACCTTTCCTAACGCTGTTTGTATTTATGCACAACGTCAAGTTTATATTTATTTATATAGGCATTCGTAAGCATATCCATACATATATATATGCTCTTGTTAACATTGAAAAGCTGTAAATTTTTACAACATTATTTTCTTCATTTCCTTTGGGCTCTTGCATTTTTATGACTAAATATGAAAATGATATACCTAAAATGGTTACGAAATTGAAAAATCCACAGTTTTTGAGCTTAACAAAAAAGGGTAAAAAAGAAATGGTAAAAATGTGCAATGACTTATTGAATTGATTGACTAAAAAAGAAAATAATATTTGCAAGTATTAAATTATTTTTTACGAAAAAAAATTGGAAAAAAACATTCAGGCCGTAAAACACACAAATTTATAAGGATGTAGTGCCAGCAAACTCTTTAAAATATGTTTGTATTCTAATATTTCCATTTACCTTGTAAGACCCGTGCGTGCAGAGAACATTTCCAACACAAAAATCTGTGGCAATCCACCATCATAGCCAGGAATGCATTGAATATCGACGCTGACATCAGTGCGATTTACGATGGAGCAATTCGAAACTCCATTGGGAAGAGCTGCATTAAGAAATTAAAGAAAAGTCAGAAAGTGAATGAAAGCTACGTTGAATTGCAGTATTAAAAAAAAATACTGATTAGGTTTATTATATAAACAACTGCAATATTACCCCATAAGACTTTTCATTTGAATGCACCTCATTTATATTTATTTTGTTATTCATTTTCTTTTTTAATTTATGACATTATAATTTTATTCCAATTTGATTTTGAATCTTTTTATTTTATTTTATTTTATTTTATTTTATTTTATTTTATTTTATTTTATTTTATTTTATTTTATTTTATTTTATTTTTATTTTATTTTAATTTATTTTTATTTTATTTTATTTTATTTTATTTTATTTTATTTTATTTTATTTTATTTTATTTTATTTTATTTTATTTTATTTTATTTTATTTTATTTTATTTTATTTTATTTTATTTTATTTTATTTTATTTTATTTTATTTTATTTTATTTTATTTTATTTTATTTTATTTTATTTTATTTTATTTTATTTTATTTTATTTTATTTTATTTTATTTTATTTTATTTTATTTTATTTTATTTTATTTTATTTTATTTTATTTTATTTTATTTTATTTTATTTTATTTTATTTTATTTTATTTTATTTTATTTTATTTTATTTTATTTTATTTTATTTTATTTTATTTTATTTTATTTTATTTTATTTTATTTTATTTTATTTTATTTTATTTTATTTTATTTTATTTTATTTTATTTTATTTTATTTTATTTTATTTTATTTTATTTTATTTTATTTTATTTTATTTTATTTTATTTTATTTTATTTTATTTTATTTTATTTTATTTTATTTTATTTTATTTTATTTTATTTTATTTTATTTTATTTTATTTTATTTTATTTTATTTTATTTTATTTTATTTTATTTTATTTTATTTTATTTTATTTTATTTTATTTTATTTTATATTATTTTATTTTATTTTATTTTATTTTATTTTATTTTATTTTATTTTAAAGTTCATGATTGATGTTTTGTATAGGGTATAATTTGTTTACTCACCAGCTAATACTACTTGGAAAAGGCAAGGCTGGTTTTGCGTACCAACTTCATTTGAAGCCCAACAGGATAAGGTGCCATAATCCTAAAATCCAAAGTAAAAAAGTGGTTAATCCAGAATTAATTCTCAATATGCTTATTTCCACATTGGCGCAATAAATTTCATATGTTTTTATGAAATACTAATATAATAATATAAAAAATCTTAAAATACGTATTTAATTACCTGATCAGATATTGGCGTATATTTCAGCACACTTCGGCTGTCATTAACGCTAAAGCGTTCACTGCCAACGTCTAAGGTTTCACCGGAATTATTGAATTTCCAACGAAAAGTTCTGGAATTTAATAATTTTTGTAAATATATATGGTAAATAATAAATTTCAGACTTCTTGATTTAATTTTCATTTTTGGCACATTTTCCTTTATGACCTACAATCCTCATTAACTAAAACTACAATAATTGCCAAATTTGCATAGTGAACGCTCCTGAAATATTTGATTGCTTCTATTTAATGTCAAAGTAACACTTCAGCTAATTAATTTAAGACATTAGCTAATTATAACTAACTTTAATTTATAAATCACCTAAAGGCAATGGATTGTTTCACATTAATTATGGCAGTACACACATATCTAAGTGAGGTGAAATATATGTGTGTATGAGCAAATAATACGCTTATTTGCTAACCAAACAGACGAAACTATGTACATACATAGGTTACGTAAGTATGCCTGCAGCTCTCTCAAATTATTTCTAGACATTCACCGTCATCGTCTACATATTTACTAATCCACTGCCGCCTTAACTACTTAGCAGAAATTTTGACGAATAGCCCATTTAGGCGTTGTACCGTTCATCCGGCCTTCACAGGCACATACACCCATATATATGTGTATGAATGAGCTTGACACTGCGCCCAAAATGTCTACACCCAATTACGAGTGATGAATGAGCGCAACAACAAACACACGCTCCTCGTTGCTTCCTCATTTCGCAACAGCACATCTTAAATAACAATCGAACTTTCAGGCGTAGTAGTTATATGTCGGTCATGCATGCATACCGTTAGAAGTTTTATTTGTATACGTGTGCGGCAAAGCAATTGGACAGCGAAAATTAATTACTATTTGTTTCCGACTATTATTGCTTCCAAGTACAGGCACGGAGGCAGGCATGAGTTGTGAAACAAGCGACAACATCACCGATGCATATCCTCAGGCGCAACGAATTGTATGCGCACAATGCACGCAAACATATGTAAACTTTAATGAGACAAAGTTGTGTTGGCATCGTTACGAACAGGAAGTAAAAGTTTGCCGCTCAGCACCCTCACAGGTGCGATGGACGCCTCTTCCGTTGCTTCTATGTGCTTGTAAGCACACACATACATACATGCGCTGCTTAGCCTACAATAACTCTTTCTCTTTGCCCCTACAATGGTGAAAACAAAGCGTTTACTTCGCCACATACATAAACTATTTTTGCTAATCTCTGCGATTTGGGTTGCACCCCGAGCCTCCCTCTCTCTCGATTTCTTTAGCTTTGCCGCACACAGCTTGTTTCACTCAAAGCTGACATTGATGAACGGGTTAAATTACGTTTGCTCTTACGTGTATGTATGTGCTGTATATGTTGCGTGTTTGTGGTTAAAATATTGGTGCACTTACCGGGGGGGTGGATCTGCCTGTATTTCACACGTGACTTCGACAGTTTCATCCTTTGAGGCGCCAATTAGTATGACACGATCCATATGCTTACAAACAGGCGTGTCTGTGGATATAAGGAAATTAGAAAGGAAACAAGAAAAACTTTAACTCAATTAACGAAAGTGCGGGTGTATGTAGTACTGAAGTTGTTACAGATTCAAAGGTTTTTTGTTTGAATAAATGAAGCTGAGGAAGATGCGGGAGTGTTGGTTGTTTCAAAAAAGAGAAGTAATTAAAAAGCTAGGTTAATCTAGGACTAAAACGCTCTTTGAAAACTTTTTCGCTTGTGACTGTCAAGTCATTTTAGCAGGTCGAAAAACGTAAGATATGCAAGCTTTAGTTATTTTTTTTTTCAAAGTTAATTTTTTGAATTCTATTAGCTTAATTTCTTCAGAAACAGTTCCATCTTTGGTTTATTTCAAGTTATAACAAATGGTTAGTGCTGCAAATTTTCGTTAACCTATTCGGAAATATATCATGATTCGAATACTGACCAGATCAGCATTGAAAATAATGCTAGAAAATGAGCGCCGGTTAAGACAGAATCAGTTGGTTTGATCCCTGCTGGAAGAAGTCTCATGAGGAGATGTGGTGATCTCCGAAAAAGCTGTCACTTAGACAAAAAAAAAACATTGCATGCGTTGCAAACAAATAAGTCTTTCGCTCACTAATATAAACCAAAATAATTAATAATGCAGGCCTTAAAAATAATTATAAAAAATAGTTAAAAAGAATTTCCAAAAAAAATTATGTTATAATATTTTAAATGCGGTCGGCTCATGGCTTAATATTTCGAGAGCACTACTCACACGAAATATTCCAGAGGCCCGTCTGAGAATACACAGCCGAAAACTGACTGCAAGATAAAATGCACCATTTACTTGATTTCAAAAGTATCGATTAAGAACTCATAACATTTCTTTGGAATGTATTTCCAGAGCATCTCATACTGGAACAGCAGTCAATAATATACAATTTTAGTTTCGTGAAAATCGTTGTGTCTAACTATCACGCGAGAACTAAGCTTTGTTAAGGGTTTAATCCCCCAGAAGCGCCAAGCCTTTGCCTACAGGGATCGTATTCCATCTACGCCATCTTATTCATCCACCTTACAGTCCGGACTTCGCGCTAAGTGATTACCATCTGTTCATGTTTAAGGCGAGCGATTTAGCTGTTAAAGAATTGGAAGCCTGTAAATATCGATTGTCCAAATTTATTGCCAATAGGGGCATGCAATTCTATGAGAGAGGTACAATGGCACTTCCAACAAAAAAAATTGTCTAGCAAAACTATGCAGAGATGGCATTAATCGGATAAGTCTGACTATGATAAATAAAGCCTTCAAAAAATAATAGATAATTTTTACTAATATATTATACTGAAAATACTTTTGAAAAATGAAGGCAAAATAATTTTTCAAAATTTATAGTTTTATTTATACCATATTAAGTTATGCGGGAAGTGAGAATTAATCAGGGAAAATCTGTACCTGAGACCATTTTTGCTCTGGACATTTTACGATACGAGGTGCTGAAGCGTAACCGAAACCAACAATATTAAAAAAAAAATTAAGTCACTAAGAGATGGAAAATGGTTTATCTATAAAAAGTTAGTTCAAAAACGATCCTATACAAAGCAAATGAGGCTCCAAATCGTCACCCAAAATCAATATTCAGCGAAAGAAGGTGATATTGCTAGAGAAAGGTCCGATATGCTGCTTGCAACAAAAACTCAAACTCTCTTGAGGCACTAAAATATACATTACTGCATTTTTTTTGTGGAAGTTTATGGTGCACATATTCTAGCTTGGTGAACGTTTCAAAAATGTTTTGTACGCCCTAATCTTTTGATTTTGGTTTAAAAGACACAGAGCGCTCTGGAAGACCAACAAAGTTTGAATATGAGAGAAAATGATATAAAAGAAGAAGAAGAAGGCAGTAAAGTAGCCGGCTACATTCATAAGCATGAAAATTGGGTACCATATGTAGTGAGACCAGACATTGAAATTGTATGTCGAAAATTTTGCAGGAACGCTAAAAAAATAAATGGTTTTTTCCAGCGGATTGTGACTGACAAAGCACTCAAAAAGTTATAGGTAGGGCCTGTCTAACCAGCCAAATCAAAGACAAAGTCGAATATCCCTAACGCCAAGATAATGCTCTGTTATTAGTGGCATCAGAAGGCCGGGCGGTATAAAAAGCCGTGTTAAATCATTAATGGGGAACGCTATCTATCCATATCTATATATATATATATTATATTATATTTAGGTAGATTACACCTTTAAATATAACATAATAAAATTTCAAGTCTATATCTCTAACAGTTTTGGAGTTATAGCAATTTAAAGAGCAGCCGCTCGTCAGCTAGAGAGTCTCATTAGCTACGAGTGAAAATAATCATTTTATCTTTAAACGCGTTTTTCCGAAGTTGCTGCAGTGATTACTTAAAAATAAATGATCCGATCACAATCGAATTTTTTTCACATGTTCTATATATAGTTCTCCGTACAATGACCTATCGATTTTTAGTCTGATCAAATAATCGAATTTTGGCAGGTCAAAAACTACCAAAATTTTGGATAAACTTCGACTATTTTTTTTTAAACGCCGCCATATTGTAGATATTTGATTTTTTTTTTTCATCGTAGGACATTGTACAGACAATATTATCTAGTAGAGATTTTTTTTTTTAAATTCATCCACAGAGAAGTCCGGAATTACTGTAGCAGTGAAGTACTTTGTTTTTTTCGCGCCGTTGGAGATCGACTATAACTTAAAAAATATTTAATTTTTTTCGACAAAGATTTTACTGTATATTTTTGAAACATGTATAAATATTTTCTTAATATTTTAAAATAATTGATAAAGTTTTTTTTTTAATAAAAATTCCCAAAAATCACCTTTTTTTAGGCCATTACACTAGGTGTACCACTTAAATTGAGGCGAGCGTTCGCCAAAAAATATCCAGAATTTCCGACCAGACAAAGAAAAAAGGGCTCGGCCTCATATTACAATACCGGAAAACATTGGCTGGAATATTTCGCATCACCTACCGCCAGCTTACAGCTCAGACCTTACTCTTTCTGACAACCATTTGTAAAGATATCCGCTATTGAACGCTCTGACTGGAATATGGCAATTCATTGTTTGTTGTTTGTTGTTTGTTATAGCTTCAGATGAGTTATGATTTCAATAAAACTATTCTACATGTTTTTTTAAGACGAAGAAGTTATTAAAAGTTTATCTACACAATTTCACAACATATTTGAGTATATCGTAAGGCAAACGGACTTTATCACTGGTAAGTTTCCAGTTAATGCTCGTGTTTCTGTTACGAAGATCCACTTTCGCGGACGAAACTCGCAAAATGCCAGAGGAAAGTATTGAAAACGATTTTGTGAACGCTTTACTTCTCATCAATGAATGGCTGGAATTCTGGAAAATTAAAGACAATGAAGAGGTTACGTTTATATTACGCCTACAAATATGCCCTGCCCTAGTATTACTATTCTCCAATCAAATATTGTAACCCATAGATAGATGACTCACTTGGAAAAGGCATTTAGATGCTAAAATATTACAAAAAAATTTCAAAGTAGCCAACTTAAATTGGCTTATAATAAGAACTCTGGCCCAAAATCAAAAGAGAAAGTTTCATTTACATTGCTAGAAAGAAGCCAAATTGGATATACACGTATGGTATTCAACTGTGAGAAAGTACAGAAGTTCCAGTCAACACTCTAAGGGTAACTCTAACGGTAACTCTAAGGCTTGTACGTTCGTGACGTAAACATATTAGTTAAAGACCTTGGTATCCTACTGGTTAAGCCTGAAGTTGAAAGGAGCCGAACGTAACATCTATAAAATTTAGAAAATGATCCCAACTCATTAACTAACGCTTTGCGTAACTCATCCAGAAATGACGGGCTGTGGCGAAGAGATGTTTCCGGCTAGTAATGAGAGCGCCATAGTTTGAAAAGCGTTCTGAGTGAACTCGAACCAACACGTTTTTAATTTATTTTTAAGAATTTTAAACTTACTGTTAACCTTAAGTTTATTATAGCAGATTACGTAACAACTGAGATACGTAAGAAATTAGAAGTAGCAGACGAAATATGTCAAGTCTCCAAAATCATATTATATTATATTGAAAATAGGAAGTGAACACAACAAGAAAGTTCCGAAAAAGAGCGTATCTTCAAACCAGAAATATTATCAAAACATTTCGCAATAATTTTATAGCACTTTGTCTCTCGATACCCACACATAGTTTCCTTCATCATACAAAATTTCGCATTTAAATAATTTTAAGTGAAAATTGTCATGCTACACATGTATTTACTAAATTATTAACAAAATGTTGTAGAAAGTTTCGAAACTACCGATGTTATGCACGAAAACATTTCGGCACTCACATGGTGGTGACTATGCTTAAGAGCATTTACGTAGTCAAGTAATATGAGCACTAACAAAAGTTAGTATGTGTAAGTATAAGTATTTATACACATATATTGTATATAAAATAATATATAAGTAAGTGTATAAATTGCTGTATATGCGCCTAAGTACCTTTGGCCAATATGTAAATAATTGATTTTGAACTTGAAGGCGGCAAGCCGAAGGCAGTCAAGACGATGATGGTCACGGGTGGTTGTTGCAAAATTAACTAACTCTGCTAGCGATGTTTTCAATCTACGTAACAAAGTTTGGACAGATCCTGATTAAGAATACCTGCTGCACAGTAGGTGGCCAACAGCTAACATTAATAGAATTTTCAGGCGCACAAATAATAAAGAGTGAGCGCAGTATAAATACTTACAAAAGTTATTGGAGGTAGAAGGAGGGTGGTGTGAGCATGCTTTATGTTTAGATGGGGTGAGTGTGAGTGCAAAAATATGGAAGGGAATATATTAAATCTTGAAGAAAACTTATTTTCTTTCTTCTTTTGTGTGTTTCTTCTTAGGAAGTTCTGATAGACTTTCCTGTGCCTTAGGCTTTTTTTCGGCTACTGTATTTACTACAATACTTACATTTTACACGCAACGGCAGTTGGTTGCTGACAGTTTCACCCTCATCGTTGATGGCGCTGCAAGCGTAATTTCCTGCATAGTGTTTGGTGATTTTTTGTAATACCAAACTCTGATTGGAGCGTATGACACGGGCGGAAGTGTTGTGTTCGAGGTGAATATTCTAGAAAAGATAAATAAAAGTCGACACAATTAAATTAATATTTAATATTTTATATTGGATTTTAAAATAAGTTATGAAAATATTATTCATATATCAGGTGCACAACTTTGCTTCCGCCGTTTTCCGAAAGGTGGCTGTACCGGCTGAGGCTGGTTGAAATACATAGATGATAATACCTTTAAAGTGAGTGTGGACAGTGCCCAACGAATTGTCATCGCCGTTTCAGTGACAGTTGTTCTTGTTTTCGTATTATTCACGCTCGAAAATGTCCGTTTATGTGCCTAATTCTCGCCATTTGCGGGAAGTTTTACTTTTCTGTTACAATTAAAAAAAAATGCAGCTGAAGCGCATCAAGTGCTCTCAGAAACTTACGGTGACTCTGCTCTGAGTGAAAGAACGTGTCGGGAGTGGTTTCAACGTTTTAAAAATGGTGATTTCGAAGTCGAAGGCAAATATGGTGGTGGAAGAGAAAAAACCTTCAAAGTTAAACAACCAGAAGCATTGCTTGATGAAGATTCGTGCCAAACCAAAGAAGAGCTTGCCGAATAGTTGGGAGTCAGCAAGCCATTACAAAACGTCTCAAGGCCCTGGGCATGATTCAGAAAGAAGGAAAATGGGTGCCGTACGAGACAATACTCAGCCTCACGTTGCAAAAGTGGTCAAAAATTATCTGGAAACGCTAAAAAAGGAAGTCTTGCCCCACCCGCCGTATTCCCCAGATGTCGCCCCTTCTGACTTCCACCTATTCCGTTCCGCAAATCAACATTTTCCATCCTTTGAAGAATTGGAAAAATGGATTGCTTCATGGATAGCGCCAAAAGAGGACTCCTTTTTTCGAGCCGGGATCCGAAAATTGCCGGAAAGATGGGAGAAAGTTGTCGTTAGCGAAGGACAATACTTTGAATAATATATCCGTAAGCACTTTTTCGCAATAAAGCTTTTAATTTTGGAAAAAAAACACCGGCTGCAAAGTTGTACACCTGATATTTATATATGTGTATAGGGCACTTTTATAAGTCGTAAAATCCAGTTTCATGTACGATCCGTACCACAGGAAGTCTGATAAGAAAACATAGTTGAGCTTTAAGGTTTACTGTTACCGTCACAGAACTACAAATACTCAATTCCCAATTTGTATTATCATTGCTCGGCCAAAAACGTGAACAGCTCTTATGTGAGATGCGGTAACCAACCCGTGAGAACTGTTGTATAACGCAAAAATGGTAGAGATGTGTGGCTTCGAGCGGTCGCCGCTTTAGCACAAACTGACCGTTATATAAAACTATCTACAATAGAATCTACACTTTCTCGCGCTGTGAGGTTTCATATTAAACTTTGTCCCCGCCGCTCATGAAAAATATCAACAAGTCTTGGTCGATCGGGTCCACGAAAACTACGGCAACTTTATTTAGGACTACAACTGAAGAAAAGCTCCTAGAATATTCAATTTCATAATTCGGTGTGTGCTGCTTACCAGCTGGTCGAGGGCATTAACCAGGGTGACAACACCGCCGGCCAAGAAATGGAATGTACGAGAGAAATAAGGAAATGCGTAGGTACTTGTGACATTTGTTACAGCGTTCATACAAAAGGAGCGCAAACTTGTTGTTGAATTCATGGTGAAGGTCGCCTGGACCTATCACTCAACTTAGTGAATAAACGTCTCGCCACAATACACATTAAATAAAAGATCTTCATCCCAATGCTGCGTTGCCTTTGCGTCCATGCCTCGACGGATAAGAAGGACTTATCTAAGTACTTTTCAAAGCTGCCTTCATCGCTATATCATCAGCATGGCGATTTTAAAATCATAGTGGCCAATCCTTGCAATTTTGTGCCGAATAGTCGAAATGAAAACCTCCATAATGGAATATTACCAAGAGGAGTAGAGAATGATCGAATTTGTCGGTACCAAAATTTGGTTGTTGCCAGCAGAGGTAAATTCATAAAGCCACTTGACCGTCTCGGTGTCAGGACATCTTCAACCAAATCGGTTATGTTGTGTTGGAAGGCCGACATATCTCTAGTGTTCTTGACGTCCATACATTCTGAGAACCAAAAATCGATTCAGATCACAAACTCGCAGCAACTAATGACTGGCCGTTCGCATACACACTAGCTCTAGGACGTTTGGACGTTGAATAGAACGGACAGCCATTTCGTTTTCTACCTGGACGCCTGCTCTCAGGGGGCACTCAGCAGCAACCCGGTAAGAGAAAAATGAGAAACATAACTTCAAGCTATCGCTGATAGCAAAATAACTGGTTTTCGTCAATATTGAAGGAAAAGCTGGTACAATGAGGCTTGCCATATTTTTTGATCTCGAGATATAGAGAGTTGAAAGAATAATCGCGACGCATTTGCAGAGAGAAAAACGGGGGCACAAAGCGCGTAAGTAAGTAGTGCTTGAGAAACAGAACGACAATGGGAACTCTCTAAAGTTCTGCGAAGAGATAGGTCGACTTGTAACAGGTTTCGATGTCGAAGCAAACGCTTGAAAGACCCAAAGAGGTGATCTAGCGAGTGTTGCTTAGAGTGTACTAAATTTGTGACGGCAACACTTCTCCAGCATGCAGTGAAAATGTAAACCAGGAGATGGCGTTCCCGATTACCCAGTCGACGACAATGGAAAACACATTCCAAAACACGATTTTGACAAATTTGGAATAGTAAGCACGTAATTGAAGCACGACAAAGTTGCGGAAGCTGGAGACTTACCGCTGCATTGCAGAACATAGTCTGATGAAGACATAGCTAATGCTTGGAGTCCGAGCTTGCTCTGCGAAACCAAGAAAAAAGTCATGTGCATCAATTATTACTTGAGCAGGCCTCCCCAAAATCACATTTATTAAATTTTCTTTTAACTCTATATGAATTCAATAGTACAGCGCCTACTGTTTTTCCTTTGCGGAATTCGTATAACATAATATGACGCATATGATCTCTTTCGTTGTCCATCTTCCATGCGTCTTTTCACTAAGCAACTCAAATCAAATTAAAGTTCGGACTGTCACTTTCCAACGATATATAATATGTATATATTTCTTTCACGAGCGCCACTCTCAAACGATTCGAACGGCATCCAGCGGAATCGGGCACGAACTTATGCACTCATCCAATAAATAAATAATATCCGTTGTTATACTAGCAAGACTGAATGCAGTTTCAATGTATTTCGTTTTCGATACAACGCTGTTGTTTATTAATTTTTTTTTTTTTTCAATTTTGTAAATTTTTTCGCACCATGAAATCCATTCAAAACAATTGTTAAGTTATTAAATTCCACATTTTTTTTCATTATATTTATCACCGTAGAAGTTATTTGCTTGCCATTGTTTATTCTCTCCAACCAAAATTTAAATTTCAAATATTTCACCCACAAACTGCAGCAAAATCAGCGAGTTAAATTACACGCAGATATTAGAAAATACTCCAGCCAAAATACCTATAAAGCACACATGCGTACATACATGAATTTAAGCCGAGCTGAGTTGAGTACTGTTAGTTATTTCTCTATGTCTACGGAAAATTTTCATTTACTAAAAGTGCTTTTGATAGCGAAATATTTGCGGAAATACTCGATGGTTTGAAGGTGTATACCCGATTGCTGCAAACTTAAAAGCGTCAACACAAATAGGTGCATATATACATGCATATGTATGCATATACATATGTATATAAACGTGCATACTGAAATGCTACACATTAATATATATGAACATACATACATATGTATATATATATCTATATATATATATGCTTTATATCACTTGGCAAGTTGCAGACAATCCCATAGTGTGGTCTGTGAATGCAACACAATCTCTCAGCCACTGCTCAAGCCATCAGCCTTGCGGTGTTTAGTGTCCCTAGCAGCACTCACACACTTCCGCGCTCACTCACTTCCCCTCACCACACCTCATAGTATGAGTATTTCATCAATCCACAGCAAAAATCAGCTTTGTCTGAGGTCTGTGCTGTGTATTAAATGCGCTGTCTCTAAGCTACTGTCCCACTTCCGGAACTCTATATATGTAAATATGTATGTGTATGAATATATGTACATTTACCATACAGGTATGTACAAATATAATGCAGAGTAGTATAAGTTTCAAATAAACTCATATATATATAACATACATATATATATATCTATATAACTATCACAATGATATGTATATACACATTTTAAATATATTTACCACACTCATATAACAAATTACTTACATTATGTAACCACAAGAGCTTCCGCCATTGAGGATTCGATTGTACGTGACACTCAAAATAAACATCATCACCTTCTTTAATATCGTCAGGTGTGAGTGTTGAGCCCAGTCGTAGTGTCACTAAAGGTGGATCTAGATGAATGATTTTGAAGAGAGCGAAAGAAAAAAATTACTTTAATGGTTAAAATAATGCAAAATCAAGAGTTAGAAGATTATAAGAATATCAGAGAAATATAATTTCGGAAGAATTATTTTCATATGCAAGTATAAATATATTTATGTACGAGGTGTGTTCAAAAAGTATCGCGGTTACAAATCACCAAATTATTAACTATCTCTACTGTATCGCTAGACTGGCAATACTTGCAAAAGCACTATAATATCTCCCTTATAGGCGATCTGTCAACAAGTGAACGGTGGACTACACCAATTATCATGGGCTTAGTCTCCTATGGAGCGTATTTTATGAATGACTAAAGCCCACCGGCAATAAGCTAGCTGGACCTTACCAGTGTGGGCTTAAACCTGGTAAATCAACCAGTCAGCATCAGCCCCTCCGAGCCGTTCGCTATCAGGCGATATTTCATATAGGGTGACTCTCATCATGCGACTTTCTCAATTTTCTCCAGGCTTAATAAAGAATCGAAGCATATTGATCTGGCAGCGGACGAATGATTTATTTCCTGTTATCAAACAAATAGTCGGTGCACTTGCGGCTTGTGAAGTTATCTATCTTTAAACCAGCATTAACATCCATAATAATGGCAGCCTGGAAATACAACACAGAGGCATTTTTTCCAACAAGTACTACTTTGGACTGAGAAGGAAATTGGAAAGTGAAGCACTTTCTTGACAAAGCAAAACCTATCTCTTCCCGTCCTGCTATATAGAGGCATTAACCGGCTTCCGATAAGTTGGCCCTGCGGCACAGACGTAGAACGATGAACTATACGATTTATATGGTATGAATGAAAGAAAATGATTCAGCTTTAAAAGTACTCGATGTAGTACCCACCGTGGAAAGCTGAATAGTTAGGTGCAGAGGGCCGATTGCCTATAGGCTATAAGGCATCAGTCATTCCCAATAATGAACTGTTGAGTTTCAGAGCGGAAGCTCACTGTATTGCGGTAGTTGAGAAAAATTCAGAAATCATCTTTGATGCCTTTGAAAACCTGTTAAATAACCAAGATCGGCTCCACACTAGATAAGCCTTGTATGACTGCTGAACTAAAAAAAATATTAGATGAAAATGTCGAAGTCAACAGAGATAAACGCTTTAATACCGATAAATACTGGAAAGATTACCAGATCATGTATTATGAGGATTAAGAAGTTTTGATCAAAGTATCAGTACCGCACTCGTGGTTAATAAGATTCAGTGCCTCAAATTCAGAAAAGCCGATCAGAATTTTATTGAATATTCGCTTTCCGAAACGTAACCGTTCGCCATGTTATCCTTTCTTCTAAAAAAAAAAAGGGTGTGGAAAGTATCTGTGCCGATTGGATCAAACGACACACACCTCGCAAGCTGCTGTTATTCTTACACCGTCAAAAAGTCAAGGGTAAATTAATTGACGTGTAGGGAGCTTTCAATAATGGCAACACCATCGCAGTTATTTAGTAAAATACATCATTTGGGGTCAACCAGAACTTGAGACAGATGTTGAACAATACCTAAGAACACACCTAAGATCACTTGAAAACGCAGTTGATTGGAGTGAGAGACAAGGAATTCCAGTAAATATCGAAAACCCTAGGTCTGCATCTATACAAGACAGATGCAAGTACACCAATTTAATGAGCCATTTTTTGGGTGTAACATTATTCTCCTTGATTCTCCTTGCTTCTCCTTGCTAACTCTGTCGAGTATCTTGAAGTAATCCTTGATCAAAAAATATTTTGAAAACAGTACGGCTACAGAGCTATTCCTCCAAAAGAGGGACTATTGCCCCAAGTGGTTTATTGGCTTTTCACAAGTGTTTTAAGATCCACAGTTATGAATATTACCTATGAAGCACCAACAGCACCGCACTTAAAAAAAAGTACCGAACATGTCTACATGGTATAGCATACGCGATGAGAATTACCTCTACTAAGAACTTTGAAGTCCTACTTGACGTCTGACCAATAGACGCACAACAACATCGTACAATGCTAAGGAGAAAAAAATTCGATTATGATAGAATTTACAGTGACAGTGACAGTGACAGTTTGTCCGTTGTCATTTGCATAGGGGTGAGGCTTATTCACACCTCGGCATTAAAGAGCCCACAAGAAAGTTAGTTTTTTGGCGTAAGGACCTTTCTTCGCCCGTTTGATACTTGGTGCAACAAATGCTATTACTTATTATTTTACTTAGTTACGGATCCTCCGAGTGAGAAATGAGCCTTGTCGCTAAAGAAATTTTGTTCGAAAAATTTTTGTTCACTGCTTGTTGTTGAAGCGTCCAATCGACGTATGTATAGCATTGAGAATGGAAGGCTGGCTACGGTTGTTGCGTTGCTAGACTGCTGGACTTTAATAAAGATAAGGGTTTAAGTCCAAAATAAGCCATAATGTACCGCAAGAGCAGGAATAGACACATTCGGGTCTATGGCTACACTTTCATTGACAGCAGCGATATTTGAGGTGGAAAGAATAAAACGATTATTCACAGTCCTTGCAATATTTCTAACAGATCCAGTCTCTTCAGAATTTTTCAACATTTTACCAATTGCTTGAGCAGTTGGACGGTTATGGGCACCATAAACTCCTCTTAAGGGAGGAAGCTGGTTTTTAGCGCAAAAAATGGGCATGTTTTATGAAATTATTTTGGCTTAACAAGGGAATCAATCGATAATCTGTGAAATATGTTTAATAATATTGGTTTCATGAGATAAATGCCAAATTTACAATTTTCACTATGAAAAACGACATACAATTTTTAACTAAGGAAAGAACCATGAACATGAATTTAAGCCAAAAAAAACGGAATTTTCGTATGTAACGCTCGTAAAAATCGATTTGTTCGAGTTACGTCTTCGGCCGACTTAAAAAAAGGTGATTTCGATAAAAACGCTAGGCCCGTAAATATCGCTTGTGGTATACCTGCGAGGCACTGCCGTTGAATGAAAAATTTGGGCGCTTAGACATTTTAGCCACTTTTGCCGGCATCCATCTTTTAGTATGTTATTTCCAAGACCCCAGAACGCTTTTTAAGACAAAAAAAATTTCGATTGAATCACCATTTTGTTCAGTAAGCTTCAAAATATGCTCGCATTGTGCGGTTGTTCAGCGAACTATTCTAAAAAACGGCCGACTTTAAACTAAACCAAAAAATTTTAGTCTGGACAATTGATTTTAGAAGATGTCAATATACGGCCGTGAGCCATCGTAGAGATTTACAAGTATGGAATCTTAAGAAATCTGTCAACTTGCATTTGCCGGTCAAACTCGAAGTTTGTCTGTCAAATATAAAATCAAGTTGACAGGCAAACTAGATGATGCGGACATCGGTGGAATGAAAGATTTTCAGAATAAATACGCATACAATGAAAGTATCAAAGCAAAGGGAAATGTGATAGCAAAAAGAGAGTAAGGAATCTGTTAGCGAATCATGATGGAATGAGGGAAATTTAAATACAAGATTTCGAAGAAAACATAACAAACATAAGTTAAATTATTGAGAATTCAGTTGATTTTAACTGTTTTTCAATGTAAACAAATAAAATGGCGCTTGCCATACTTGTAAGCCTCTACGATGCCTGCACTTTTGAAACCACGAAAGAGATAACACTATTTTTATGTAAAAATAATTTGTGTCTATCTCCTTTGTGGTGCTTCAATTTCACACAGCTGATTCGAAGACGCCTTTTCTCTGCCTCTTTTGCTCTCTATTCGATCGAAACTTAGAACTCTGAGCTATGATTGTGTAACGTAATCGGAATGAAAAATAGCTCTAATTATTTTCTGTTTTGAGGTATAGGAGCTTAGAATAATTTCTATATTAAATTGTCAAATACTTTTCCTAAATCTCTTACTTACATACGACATTCAGCTTCCACATTGTTTCCAAGTACAGACCATTCACATTAGGATTCTCAGCGCGGCATGTTATTGATTTGCCATCATCATCTGTGGTGGGCACAAAACTCAACTCTGAACGTGTCACATTCTTGGAGATGTCATCCTGTGAAATTAAAAAAAAAAACGGCGAAAAATAAATAAATAATAAGTTTCAAATTAAATCGAATATAGTATATTGAAAAAAGTTTTAACTTCTTCCAATTTATTATTTTTCTATTTATTTATTTTTTTTCTGTGTTTTTACTCTCACAACAACTAAGTTAGACATGTTATTTAACGCTATTTGATTTATATATTCAACACTTTGGCAGCAAATTTATGTGCAAACAGTGGTGAAAGTAAGTAACACACCTACTGGATTTGCTCAGAAACCGTTAGCATTATATTTATTACCCAATGCATAAGCACATATGTACATATATATGTACTCGTATGCATGTCGTATATTTGCCTACGAATATTTAGATGTAAGGCAAAGCACAGAATGAGCACTTAAAGCATATCGCAGGAAACTAAATATATTCACATATGTATGTGTGTATAGTGCTGTGCCACTTAGGTACATATGTTCCAGCACTTAAACAAACAACAGCAACAACAACAACAACAACTATTGCGCAATACATTTTGTAGTGAAATTTCCATTTCCGCTTTTAAATTGCTTATTGCAAATTACATAGCAAGTACGCTAATATTATCACACAAGTAACAAGCAATACATTTACGCGAACCCAATCATTTCACCAGCTCCACCTAGTTCGCGTTGGAACAACAACAGCAACAACAACAGCAATAGCAACAGCAACAGTACAAAGAGTACTGAGATATAGCAATATAATAAATTTGTATATATGTATGAATGTGTATATGATGTATGTACGAATATGTCTGTATCTAAGCGGAATGCATCAGTGTTGGACCTTATTCAATTGCCGTCGCTGAGCAGTGAAAACGTAACAGTATAAACAATGAAAAGTACACTTTGCATGCCATGAATGGCACAATGAAGGCGAAAATATTGTTAAAAGAGGTCACGACGCTATATTGGAATTGTTGTTGCATTAGAACGTATGACTATTTAGAATACTTTGTGCTCGACCGACGGGAAAACCGGGGTTTGATTTTGAAACTCAATCGCTTACATAATAAAAAGTCGGGTTTTGTTGTTGTTGTTATTTTTGTTGTTGTTATTGTAAGGGTTTTCTAGACTCGCTTAGGAACAGTCTGATTTCTGCATAATATCTAACGGATGGTCTAAGAAACGAGCTGTTTCGACGTGCTCGAACCAGAGCGAAAGGAAGTTAGATGCTGGTTAGTGTCGTATGGGGGCTCAATGCAAGCATACCCGGTGTGGCAATTGAGTAATGAGACTGATTCCATCAAAACCGTATATTTCAAAATCATTTTTCACCTCTGCAATTCCCTTCAAAGTAGTCCCCTTGGGCCGTTAGACAACGACTCCAGCGCGTTTTCAATGTTTCTTAACATTTCTGGAGCGCTTCGCTTCCTTTGAATACCGATTTTGTTCTTGGGAACAGAAAAGATCACAGGGTGACATATCGGGCTTATAAGGTGGTTGTTACAATACGGCGATCCCTTTAGAGGCGAAATGCTAGAAGAGCGGTGTGCGCACATGCGGTTATTTCGGCTGCACATTGTGCCGAGACGTTCATCTCTCGGGGGATTGCTAGAACTCTCTTCCGAGTATCTCATTATTATTAGACTTCACAATAAAAAAGCTCTTTTCATCCTTCTTCTGTCGATCTCAATTCTCTGACCCCGGTAATGTTAGCTTCTGCATTTCGGAGGATTTCAAACAGCTGCTCATACACAACTTCTCAATCAAAGGGCCACAGGTTTCACGTGCTTGACGTTAAATCGTGATCGTTAAAACATTTTGAGGATCGTGAGTTACATGAACTAAATTTAGTAGAATCTTTTCGTGGACTTCAGCGCATTGTCTCATCTTACTCGTGCTTCGTTCAAATACTGTAAGACTAGCTTTCCTTTAAACATTAACATTTATTAAAAGGCGCTTTCAAGTTGGTGGATGGCTTTATTTTGGTCTGTCAGTACAAATGTAGAAAGCCTGTCCAGTTTTCTGAGGTTCCTTACATCGATTAACGCTCGATACTCGGATCGATATCCTTATATATTCACCATCTCTAAGTATCTCACAAACTGGCCTTATACTCGATTTTCGGCATATGATCTGTAGAGTGCTCTTTTTCTTTGATGGTGTCCAAAACACAAAACTTGCAATTGTTGGACTACCAACTAGTGGACGACCCATTTTCGTATTGGATAAAGAGGTTGTGGATATTTAATAAGTTCGAAAATATTACAGTCAAGTAACAAGAACAGCTAGTAATGATCTATACCAGGCTTGGTACCCAACTAGAATCACTTTTAATTTTTTTAATCTTTCCCTCGTGTCGGAAAGACGATTTTTTATATATTTAATACACCCTGTCTAGAGCAACACACTCAAATTGTGTTCTCCTTTAAACCTGTGAATGAAAGCCATCCGTCGGTTTTAATCTTCAGGTATTTTAGGTTATGATATTTAGAAATTTTTTGAGATTTGGAAATTTTGAGGAATTTCGAGATTCGTAGGTTTTTGAATTTAGAATATTTTTTGAGAGTTGGAAGATATTGTAATGCAGATTTTAGAAGATTATTAAATTTTTGAGGTTTGCAGATTTTTAGTTCTTGATTTGGAGCTATTTAAGTATAGAGGTTTTTGATGTATAGCGATTTTTAAGACAGGAAGATTTGGAGACTTTTGAAATTTGAAAATTTCGATATTTACTAATATGACTGGGAAATTTTTCAAAAAAAAAAACTGGAATATTTGAATTTCGTAGATTTTTGAATTCGTGGAATTTTTTTTTCGAGATTTTATATGATTACGAAATTTTTGTGTATTGGAGACTTTTAGGTTTTGATTTGAAACTTTCGGTTTGGATTCAGATATTTTTGGGAGATGTCAAGATAAAGAGATTTCTTAGGACTTAAGAATCGGATCATCTTCTTCTTTTTTTTTTTTAATGAAAGTTCTCAGAATATGATACTTTTGATATTTGAGACATTTTAAGAAATAAGATTTAAGGACTTTTGGGATTACAGAGTTTCAAAATTTATTTTTTTTTCAAGAATTTGAGGTTTTTTAAGACTAGGTGATTTGGAGATTTTTGATAATTAGAGAAAATCTAGAAATATTTTTAAAATTCATTCAGGTGGCTTTTAAAATTGAGAACTTTTAATTTATTGGTGTTTCCCACTGTTGCAACGTATAAGCTCAAGCTACACAAATTCAGCGTTAAGAAAAAAGTAGTAGATTCGGTTTTGGTAAAATTCAGAAGTTTACTTTTTAGCAAAGTGCTTGATGTATATTTTGCTTTAAAATAACTTTAAGGATCCAAACATGTTCTTAATTCACCAAAACAGTAAAACGTCTACAAAACTACAGGCACGCACATTGCGAGGCCACGCAGATAATGGTTTTTTATCTATTTAATTGGAATTTTTTTCATTTATTCTATTTTAATTTATTTTTTGTAAAATAAAAATCAACGCTTGGAACCCACCTTCGTGCGCCGCAACTGCCGCTTCCCTTTATACCAGGTGATGATGGCATTCGGACGTGAACCGGTTGATTCACATATGACTTCGTAGCGGCGATCCGCTACCATCGAACTGGGTGCCTCAATTATTTTCACCGTCAGCGGTTTTACTGTAAAAAAAAAAAAAAATAAATAAAACAAATATGTAAACAAAGACATCGCTGCAACAACAACAATGTTGAATTGAAAAATAGTGCACTAAAAATTCAGCGCGAGTAGCGGAACTAGATGGCATACTATGAGGCGCACCACACGATAGCAGTGTGAACGCAACTCTAAGTAAACAGACAGACAAACGGATCGCCAAACAAGCAATCCACGATGAAGCAAGGCGTAGAGGGAAACTGAGAGTATCAACGTGGCCTAAAAACCTTTTAAATGCCGCAATGTTGTGTTAGAGAGCAAACGTACATGTGTGTGTGCACGTAGGCAGTGAAATATTTACATATACACATGTATATAGTACAAATGTACAGTGAAGGGCGGTAATATATTAGCATGATATTTAAATTAAAATTTAGATTAAATTTAAACACAAATTTAAAATTAACATAAAACCTAAAATTAAAATTAAAATTAAAATTAAAATTAAGATTCAAATTCAAATTCAAATTATTAAAATTAAAATTAAAATTAAAATTAAAATTAAAATTAAAATTAAAATTAAAATTAAAATTAAAATTAACATACAAATTAAAATTAAAATTAAAATTAAAATTAAAATTAAAATTAAAATTAAAATTAAAATTAAAATTAAAATTAAAATTAAAATTAAAATTAAAATTAACAGGTTTGCCACTGATTTAGGATTTCCTTTCGTATGTCCCCTCTTGCGGTGTTAACGAAGCTTCCTCGGACCCTCGTTTTGTGGAGAGTTCTGTTCCATTTTCTTTCAGACGCCAAAAGGTAGATGGGAATGATTCCACTTCGCCTGATATGGTACGGTATGCCGATGCTACGCTCAAAGCTGCTGCGCAACACTCTTTGGACAGCAGCTTTCGTCGGCTGGCTTGCTTAATTTGACGCTCATTCAAATGATCTTCAACCGGTACGTCTTTCCTATTTTACTTACATTTTATGTCATGTTTTGATGCTTCTAAACCTCCTACTTGCCGCTCCAGTGCAGTCTGCATCCTAAAGCCGCTAATTAAATATGTGGTTTGTCAAAATATCTAAACATAAAGGCATCAAAATAATATTCTGTTAAACATATTATATCAAACATATGGCAGCTGTGCATTTATGTAGGACCATTGGAAAATGTATAATATGCCTCATTTGCATGAGTGTATGTATATGTAAACAAATGTAGTATATTCATTTATGCCATGCAAGAATTTTTTCTGTTCTGAATAAGCCGAGCCGTACTACGATTATAAAAATGTTCATGCCTTTCTTTGAGTGATTTATGCAGAGGAACTTTCTTTAAACCCATTTTTAGCTTTTGCAGTGTCTGTATAACCTTGGAATACTTTGGACCTGACGGCGATTGAGTTGGTTAATTCATAGAAGATACCGTTCATATCTAGAGTCAGTCTCATTCCGGAGTGGCTGCAAAGTAGTATCCAAAAATCGAAATTCACATTAACTAATTAATTGCAAGCAACCTATAGTAATAATTTCCAATGTGGTATATATACAACAGCAACAGAAACAATTATGAATGTTATCATTCTCAATGCCTCTTAACGCATTATCCTTTGGTCGGAGTTGAGTAGTTGTCCGTCCTCATGCATTCACACAACACAGATGTAAGTTCAAAATGTTGAGAGTAACAAGAGTAATGAAACATGTATGAATATACACATGTTTGTATGTGCACACAACTAACAACTGAGAACAAGGTTAAATTGTCTAAATGGCAATCATAAGGCCGTAACCGTAACACATTTACACTAATGCATGCAAACTAATATTATATTAATTTTGCTGAAATACTTACAAAACATGCTGCAATGAGTCCATTGTAAATATGCTCGCTTTCATCTAACGATGTTTTGAAAGATTTCAAATGTGGCATGGAAATTGTGATTTTATTTTTGAATGAAAGTTTTTAAATTTTTGGAGAAATCTCTCACTCTCACAGTTTATCGAAAATACATATCCATTCAAATATTTATTTAATACAAATTAAACACTCTCTAATCTCCAATTTAATCGATTGAGTCTTAAAAGCAGAAAGACAAATTTAGTTTCAGAAACTGTGGCACCAGGGAAAACATCAGGAGGCATCCTAGAAATTAAAATAATGATAACTTCACCAATTGAGAACGGCTGGGCAGATTTGACGATTTTCAAGGTTGTGGGTAAGCAGGCAGGTAATTGAACTGACCGAAGCATTTCAACCCAAGACTTCAGTTGGCGCTATAAGCGCCATTTCGATACACTTTCCAAAGGCATTAATATAACTGCGACCATGATTATTTGTTACGCTCGAACCATTTAGTGTGCTTTCTGTGAAACTACTTCTATACGTAATGCTTTCTGTGGACTACATTTCTGATGGCTTGCAAGTTTTCTATGTCAAGTTTGTGAGAGAACGAGAGCTGATCACACGCAGAAAAAAGTGTAACCGATTTCCTTATTCCTAAGGAAACCCTATTCTTGATCCATGTTCACTGCAGGGTCAGTGACCCGTTGTTGAGTAACCCTGTTGAAAGCCTTATTGAACCCCGAGTGGAGAAATAATGATTACGTTCACTGTGAACAACACCTCAAACCGTTAGATTGCGTCAGTCTTTAGTGCTTTTTCTAAGTATAATTTGCTTAACTAATGTCTTTCAAAGAGCGATGGAGCCCTGCGTAGAAGTTCCTGCAAATGAGGAAAGTTTTTGAGTGTCATTCACCTGGGAGTGGTCAGAAACGATTCTTTTGCTTCAACCATGTGCAAGCTCACAACTTCCTGTCTTAGACCACGTATCCTCCGGGTAGCCAACAAACATCCATTTAGAGGCAAACTAAAGTGCGAAGGAGAATCCGATGCGGTTGTGCGTAGGGTTTAGGACCCATCACTTGAAAAACCAACTTCAATGAAAAATTTAAATCAGCCTCGGATGAGAGACCCGTTTTTTATGACGACCTCCACAAATGTACCTGGAATGTCCGGTACCTTAATTGGGAAGATGCCGCTGTCCAGCTGGTTTATATCCTCATAAAGTTAACCGCTGACATCACCGCCGTTCAAGAAATGCGATGGACGGGACAAGGACGGAAGAAGGTGGTACCTTGTAAAATTTACTAAAGCGGCCATATAAAAGAGCGCAAGTTTGGTATCGCATTCGTGGTGGGAGACAGACTCCGTCGCCGAGTACTGCCATTCACTTCGGTGGATGAAGATTTCGCCACAATCCTCATCAAAAGGAAATTCTTTAACACCACTCTAAATTTCGCCACGTCCCGGCGCAATGAAATGATGACTTGTCCAAATATTCGGCCTCCACGTCTGCCACTAGATTACAGCACGAGAAAGAGATACCGGGAGCGGAAGAGGGAGACATATGCATTTGCAGGCAAAAAAAGGAAGAGGCCGAGATGTGTGAGTAGGAAGAACTTAAGAAGCTGGCCGACAAAGGGAATGCTCGAAAGTTCTATGAGAACATTCGACGACTTACGGAAGGTTTCAAGACCGGAGCAAAATCTTGTAGGACCCAGAGGGGTGAGCTAATGACGAATGCCCAGAGTATAATGAATCTATGTAGGGAACACTTGTCCAGCCTGCTGAATGGCACTGAAAATGAAACACCCGGAGAAGGTGATTGGTTCTTATCAGTGTGGCTTAAGACCAGGTAAGTCAAACATTGATCAGATATTCATCATGAGCCAAATCTGAGAAAGGACCCGTGAAAAGTGGATCGACACACCACCACCTTTTCGTCCATTTCAAAGCAGCCTTCGACTGCATGAAATAGAGCTTACTTTACGCCGCTATGTCTGAATTTGGTATCCCCGAAAAACTTATACGGCTGTGTAAACTGAGCTTAAGCGGCACTAAAAGCCCCGAAGAGATCGGAAAGGACCTCTCCGAGTAGTTCGATGCCAAACTAGTTTTCAGATGATATTGACATAGTTCAGGTGATATTGACATAGTTCAGCAAATGAACAGACAGCGACTACGCTGGATAGGTCCTGTCGTCCGAATGGGTGGAAGCACTCCTGCTTTAAAAGTATTCGATGCCCGTGGGTGCTGCTGGAAGCAGAGGAAAAGGATGATATTGACATAAATGAAGGGAAAGATCAGGTGGAGAGTGACCTGGCTGCACTTTGTATTTGCCACAGGCGCCAGACAGCCAGAAGAATAGAGGAATGGCGCGCTAATATTTGTTCGGCTATAATCGCGAAAGCGGTGCCAACGAAAATAAATAAGAAGGAGAAAAATCCCACCCCAGTAGACGATCCAACTTTGGACGGCTTACGCGGCATGCATTAATTAGTCAGCATGTCGAAGAGCAACATTAATGGAGATATGCCCATACTTCCCAAGAATTTTTCACTCAACTGTACTTTGGCATTTGCTACTGTTTTGTGAAATCTTTCTAGAGCCAATAGCCGACAGAGCCTAAACGTAGTCTGAAATGATAATACTTAAAGCGTTCGCACTTCCAGCATCGCTATTCGCTGGAAAAGCCGAAAGCTCTTTTGGCATTTTTGCTACAGGAAAAATCGCTGCTCCGCTGTTTTTGAATGTTTCAGCGGGTGCTGTAACGATAATATGAAATCGAAAGGGTTTCCGTCCATCTAGACGAAAGCTTGGAAGTTTGGTTTGAACAAACTTATATCAAAATTTCTGAATTGCAATGCAAAAGCAAGGAAGTTCGCATCCTCAAGTGCAAATTTTTTTATAGGCAAAGTGGTATATATGTCCCTTTATCGATATGTATAATTTGGCAAAGCAACTAATTATATTCAAGCACGTATATAACTGTAAATGCCAATATCATACACTGATTTGGAGGTTTTGCATCTAAACAAGCAAACTCAAATATTTGCCATCACTTTGGAGTAAATGCACTAACATAAGTGTCCTTATCAACTTTACCAACACATGCATATGCAAATATGTTTATCTTGTCTTACACGAGATTGGCTTTGATGAGATTCTGCAATGGGGAATAACCGCAAGGTAAGATAAGTACTTAAGAATAAACTCACATATGTTTGTATTGTGCATACGTGCATGAGTACAGTGAGTTCAAAAAGTGTTCAGGTAATGGAAATATTACTTTTCTTTTTGAATTTCACGCAAATATGGCAGCACTTCATGAAATATTTTTAGTCATTGCATGGCATCAGCATTCCAGTAGTCGAAACCTACTTTTGTTGATTTCCATGATTATTTAAATTTGAATAAATTTTGTTCAAGATGTGACTTAATATGTAAATAATGCAGTTTTCGCAAAATTAAGTGTCAGCATTTTTTAATATTTTTATTTTGTGAAGGAGCGACTATTTCAAACTGTTGATATGCGCTAACGAAGCGAAAATTAATCGTATTAATTCGGATGGATCCGTTTGGACGTGGTATGAAAAGCGATGGGGTCCCACGGAAAGCAACATGTTGCACACACCTAAATTCGGAGTTGGTTCAGTTTTGGTATCGGGTTCTTCTTGTAGCGGAAAGGTGGAAAAACTAGGTCCAATACTAGAGTATTCACTTAATCCTAGCTTTGATATTTTTGTATGCGAACCCGGTGATTTGTTAAACATGTAAAATAATTATCCTAAACGTACCGCCCGCACTACAAAATCTTGGTTGGCAAATAAGGAAAATCGAGTGCTGGAGTAGACCAATTCAGTCTTCTGATATGACTCCCATGGAAAATTTATGACCGATTGTAAAAAAAAAACCGCCAATCGCTCAAAGGGATGCGTAAAGGGACTCAAATTGAACGAGTTTTGAGCAGCTTTTCTCTCTATATTTAAGGTAATCTAATTAACTCTATGCCAGACCGTCTTAAAACACTCACAAAAGCTTAGAAAGCCCCACAAGCCTAATTCATTAGTAATTATTTCTTGTGTCAATTGTGGGTCCTCGTAAATTCTGGACTTCACCAGTGAAGATTGAATAAATAAAAAATTAAATATTAATTTAAAAATCTAATTATAAAGATTAATGTAAGAAATATAATAAATATAT